CGGGATTACAAAGATCGATTGCGGAGAAATGTCGCGACTGCATTGCTGCAGATATTGCAGCCGACCAAGACCGCTTACATGCATGGTTGGCAGGTAGAATTTGTGGAGCTAGTGTTGTCAGGAGCTCCAGTGCATTGGGCACGGCTCCTGTGGAAGGTGACGCGCCAACATGCGCAAGAAGAAAGAGGAGGAACCCTCAATCATCTTTCGCCTTACTTGATCGTGTTTTATCGGGCGATGGGATGTTTGACAAATGCTGAGAAAACACAGTTTCCGCAGCTGACCCGGAACTATCCAGGTAGATACTCGAGGGAGGCCGAAGTAGACACGGATCCGGACGAGGAACCTGCCAGTACGCCTCCGGCTCCGGCTCCAGCAAGAGCAGCAGAAGAACGTCGAAGTGAGCGCATTCCGCGAAAGCGGAAGTGGGATGAGAGACCTGAGGACAGGCAGCCGGAAGTGCCAGCTGCGCCGACTCGTGGTCGGCCCAACCCCGAGCCTCACAGTCGACCAAAATAGAGGGCACGCAAAATGCCAACTGGTACTGAGGAGACCGGGCGTACTCCGATCCGGCGGAATCTCACACAGGAGGAGATAATCGCGCAGATTCTAGGGATGACGACAAATACCTCTGCACAGAAGGCCCCAAGGCCTTCGGGAGGAGATGGACGAACTGACAGTCGGCCGACTACGAGTCGGGCGACTGAAGGCCGACAAGCGGAAGGAAGGCCAACTGAACGGCGCGTTGAACCGGACAGCAGGCCGGAAGCAGAAGAGAGTTTGGCTGACGAGCCAACAACCCTCAGAGGGTCGTCTTCGGCGGAAGGCACTTCTGGGAAAACGCCACCAGCAAGCAGGCTAAGTGGAGTCAAGACGCGCAGGGTGTATCCGACTCCCAATCGGACAACTGCTGGTCGGCCGACTGCGAGTCGGTCAACAGAGAGTCGGCCGGATTCGCCGACTGCGAGACGGACAGGCCGGCGACCAGTGTGCGGACGCCTTCGGCGGACGCACCTTCAGCGAAGACACCTTCCGCGCAGATTGCGCCGGAAGGGCAGGCAGCAGAAGCGGGCGGTGCAAAAGTGACAAGAGTCACTGCGGCGTCGACCCCTTCGGAGACCGAAGATCGAGCCGGAACAGGGGCTCAAGCAGTGGGATCTCCCACTGCCCTGGATATTTTAGCAGGCAGTGGAGCAGCAGTCGCAGCGGAAGCTGCTGCGCGCCACAGTTCCAGGGAGTCGCCAAGGGATTCGGTGGCGACTGAAATCCTCGAGACTGAGGATGAGACGAGCTCGGAAGAGCAGGAAGCGGATTCGGTGCAGAAAACGCCAACATGGGTGTTGTGCGAATAGATAGTTCCACTCCTGCGATATCTGGATCGCAAGACATCCAAGTACGCGGGTACTGGAAAACCGCAGTCTTATGTGGACACTATCAGGCGAAGGACCAGGAGCAATGTGGCAAGGTGGGCCTCTAGGTGCCAAGTATATGTGGATAGGAACACCGCCCTCTGACAACACCTGGCGGTCACACAGAAGCTATACCAAGCCTTGCAGCAGCAGAGGGAGGATGCGGCGACGAAAAGTCAGGCGGATGCCGAGCTAATGCGGGCAAAGATCGAGTCGGAATTGCAGGAAGAGCGGAGACAAAACCACGTCCTAGCAGCCGAGCTTGCGCGCCAGACGCGCGCCTTAGAATAAAGTCAAAGAGCCCGCAAGGAGGATGAGGAGTTGTTGCGCAACTTGCAATCCGAGTGCTCGGATTTGAGGGCACAACGTGCGGAAGCGGAAATGCAGCTAGCAGAGGTGGAAGGCAGCTGCAGGGCGCGAGGAGAGTTGGCGACACGGGTGACTCGTTGTCTAAAAGGATACGCCCATTGGGAGGTGGCAGCTCAAGAGAGGATCACACTAAGGGAGTTCGAGCTTCGGGCGGCGGCATTGACGGAAGGTGACAGTCGGAGTCGGCGGCGAGTGGCGAGGAAATTAGAAACCTTCTTGTCATGTGCGCGCGACACTATGGCGCACTTAGAGTCGGAAGTCACTGCAGCGCTCCGACGCCTGGGGGTGCGCAGCCGGTCGGAAGACTGGCAAGGTAGAGACAGAGAGCGGAGCAGTCCGGCGCGCAGGAGGCGCAGCACCGGATCCGCCGAGTGCAGTAGAATAGTTTCGTTTCGCGCAGATGTTGCGAGCAGTAGATAGGATAGCGTAGTGCTAGTTAGGACCTTTGAGGGTATAAAGTAGATCAAGGCGTTTTGCCTTGGGTCTCTTCCAGTTTCGGAAGTGCAGATCAGGAACTCACTTTCTTGGCGTGTTTGTGCATTTTGGTCCTGGCACCACGTAGAGAAGCTGCAGCATAGCGAAGTTACCGTATGTTGTAGTTGAAGGCCTTCGGCTGAATGTTCAGAGCTAGTACCCGGTTAGAGACTTGAGTAGTGCGGATCTGCACCTGCGGGTGATTTCTGATGCTCAGAGCCGGCTGCGAGTTAGATACTTGAACAGTTCCCCCTTACTCCTTCGAGTGACATATCCTGATTGTACTCCTACGGGAAGTTTCCCCTGAATGCCAATGTGAAGTTTTATTACTTCGAGTAAGCCTTGGTTTGTAATTCAGGTTGTGTGTGTGTTACTGGATTGTGTCTCAGTTAAGTTCTCAATCGGATCTGCACTCCCTGCGTTTGGTGTGATAGTCGAGGGTGACGTCCACGGCGTATGAAGAGGCTTCGTTCCGAAGTGGGAAGTCCAGTCCGGGTACCCTACGCTAGTTCCTGGCGGAAGGGCAGTAAAAGTCGGAGTGGGAGGCACTACCTGCAGAACCTCTGAGTGAACTTTCGAGACACTTTCCCCCTGAAATCCGAAGCGGAGGTCCTGACCGACCTCCGAGTTGTGCTTTTGCCAGTTTCAGGTGTGTGTGTGTGTGAGTTGATTGACCACGCTGTACCGTGCATCCTCCGAGCATCCTCCGAGTTGAGATCCTCCTCCGAGTCGAGCCTCCGAGTCGAGCACTGCAGTATTTCTGGGAGTGACAGTCGCCTAGAATTCAAACTCTACAAAAGTGTGTTAAACGTGACACTTTTACTCTGTGTGTTGCCTCTGTCCCTGTGGGTTCGATCTTTTTACCACCATACTGCAGTTTTAGCCTTTGGTGGGTTATTACAAGTACATCTAGTAGTATGCATGAGGAGCACATCTCCTTCTCTATAGTCTTGAACTTACATGAAGTTGTGATTAGAAACTTGTGCAGATTTATGAAAAAGTGCAGAAGAGCATATAAAACAAGCACATATATATAAAATAAATATATATATATATATATATATATTCACGAATGAAATTTATGTATTACTTTATATGCAAGATCAAGATGCTTTATACTGTTAAATTATAGGCAAATCAAGGCTCTGGAAAATTTATGTCAAATCAGGGTTATTAAATGTTTTCTTTTCTTCATAGTTTCGGATTAATCTAGGAAGATTCTTATCCTTGACCATATTACGAGGTGAAATCTTCCAACGATTCGGTCAGTGTCTCACCGGATGTAGACAACAGCTTTACGAGAATATTCTCATTTCCCTCAACTTTCATTATGGGAAGTTTTGGAAGTCCAATGAACGTATATCGTCTCTTGCAAGAGGGCATCTCGAGATTCAAGCCAATGTGCCAAAGCGAACATATCCTTACCATGTTGCCATCCTTAACTTTGATTTGAGTTGATCGATCGACACCTGAACATGGTAGAGCTTTCACTGATGACAATCTTTTGTACTTGAGTTTGACTCATCTCCTGTTGAACGTCAGTATCAATTCAAATGTTGTGCTAACATTTTCAACCAACAATACAAGGAGTCAACACTCAACACTGAGACTAAATGCACACTTGCACATATGTGCCAAATACTGGAACATTCCAATTACATCATTATTCTTCAAAACGCAATATCATTTCATTCTTCATGACCAAAAGACTCGACCACAAATAGATAGAGAGCACAACACCATAATTCATCATTATAATATACCTATACATGATATGTGACAGAGCGAAGATGGATACACGAGTTTGTGACATTGTCTGAAGACCAACTCTTATTTGCCTTCACTATATCACAGCTTTTCAGAAACATGAAGTTCAAGTCGAAAACGGGGAAAAGGGTGACGCTTGTAATGAAATGCACGATGGCCGAAGATTCATCACAAGTAAAAAGAAGCAGGATTATCTAGAACAGCTCTCCAGAGCCCCAAGGTAGTAGCTGTCCAACCTTGATTCTCCTTAAATTAACGGAGACCTACATCCTCACCTACCTCTCTCACGGTAAAACTCAAAAACTTACCAACAGGTGAGTATACAGGTGTCCGCTGGTTGACCCAAATGTTAACTGCAGTTACGACCGTGGGAATCTGGAGAGCTGTTCTAGAATGTTCTAGAATATCCTGCACGTAAATGGACACTCTGAGACACAGGTCTCACAAACATTCCGAAACAATCAACTGCAGACCTTTGAAAAATCAAGAAACATACGGAGTGAGGAAGTAAAGCTCATTCACAACTTCTGAAATGATTAACTAATTAACTCAACAGTATACTAGAAAAAATTGAAATCTGAAATGCGTTAAGTTCCTATGACTTCTATGTTTAGTTCTTAAAATTTAGAGATATTCACTTTGTTCTTTCTCTACTATCACAGTCAATGATTAAAAAAAAAAAAATTATTTCAGATAAATTTAAAGATTTTTTTTTTTTATCACATGGATGAATATTTAGCATGGAAATGTATTTCTCTAGTACAAAAATTTTACAACTAAGTTTATTCTAAAATTATATGTTATGATGATTTTTTTTTAAATTTTAAAAGAATCATCAAAAAATATAATTTTAGAATAAATTTAATTATAAATTTTAAAGATAGATAAATACAATTGCATCTAAACATTCATCTATGTGATGAAACAAAAATCATCTCTAAGTTTATCTAAAATAAAATAGATATATTTTTATTATGGGATAATAAAAAGCAAACAAAATTAATATATCTAAACTTTAAAAACTAAACACAAAAATTTTGGAAACTCAATGAACCTATCATCAAGTCATCTGGACCCCTCTGTCGAATCCGGGGTCCAAATACGACAGAGGAAAATTGGGCCAATCGTTTCAATGATAGAAGCCACCTTGGGCGAACTGGGGACGTCGAGCATGAAAGCCTTGTATTTCATCACGACTTTTGAGAAAAAATAGTCCGAGAAGGATTTTGCCCTTGACCTCCTCCTCCGAGACTCCCTCGTCATTGTGACTTCGATCATCATCTTCCGAATCTTCCTGCAAGTCCAGAAGGTCAATAAAATCCAGTTGCTCATGCGACGGACTCTTATCGTCCTTGGAACTGGCAATCTCCTCATACAAAAGACGGGAGTTGGAATACGGATCCCCAGTTCAGCCTCCAATGAACAGCTGTAAACAATCTCCAAGAATCCACCGAATGGTTCACTAGAGACTGGTCCCGTCGAGGTTTAAGAGCCTCAAGCTTGGTTCAGTCAGCAGCGATGCGGTAGCGTCGCTGCATCCGCGTCCGATTCGGTAGCGTAGGACGCGGATGGCTCCGACGCAGCGAACCAACGATTTGAACATTCCATCTCCCCATGAAATTTCCGCCAGTTTCTCTTATCGCGCTGCAGATATGTCTTCCAGACGGTCTTCTCGACGACAGACGTTATTCCGAGCCACCTATAATATTGAAAGCTCCTCGGACGTTATACCGTGACACCTCGAGTTTTGAAAGCTCCTCGGACGTTATTCCGAGCCGCCTCTAGTTTTGAAAACTCCTCGGACGTTATTCCTAGCCGCCTCTAGTTTTGAAAACTCCTCGGACGTCATTCCGAGCCACCTCGAGTTTTGAATTATTCCGAGACACCTCGAATTTTGAAAGCTCCTCGGGTAGGCACGAGAAGAGAGCACATAGGATTTTGAATTTCTTTTGCATTTTGATTTTTTTTAAAACAATGCGTCCTGATTTGACTTGAGCGAACGTATGGAAGGGACACGGCCCAGCATCCAAGGACCGGGCTCCGATGATTCTGGAGTCTCACTCCCTTCTCTAGCGCAAGTTTCGTGTGAAGTTTGCCACGCGGCTCCCGACTCCACTTCCCAGTTCAGGTGATGTTTTACCAGAGATTACCATAATATGCTGAATTTTGCGCATGTGATGTTTGGGATGGTATCTGACTATTATCCTCTCGATCCCTTCCGGGCGAGTCCCACAAATAAGATAAGCTTGGAATGTAACAATTCGGGTACAAGGATCTCCTCACTTTAGGGGCCACGCAAACGAGTCCAATCGTGGCCACAACTGAAGTAAATTTATGGTCTCAGTTCAGGTCGGATCATTTCATGATCCTGCAGTCCGGATACATGGGATATGACAACTGCGATCTAAGTTGTGGAAAAATCTTACCGCGAATCGTGATACAATTCTTTGAATTTGTCCACTTCAATCGCATGAACGCCCTCCAGCATAGTTGCTACATCTGTTTCACAGTCCGCAGGTCTCGTCCATGGATCTCTGATAAAAGTCGGCAGACTGATGTGGTGACCTTCTCATTCGGGACATTGGCGGATCCTGCTAGAGTGAGAAGTATGCTTGGCAAGGCCCTCGCTGTCGAGCATGTTGGATCCGAAGCCTACACCTGGTACTTGGTGCTTTTATCTGTAGAAGGTGAGATAAGCCTACATACAAAGCTCATCTTCATTACTAGGAACTTGATACAAATCTGTGGCTACTGTTTAGCCGGAGGTCTACTGAAGTGCCCGTATAGTGCTCGTGAGGTTATGGCTCCAATTGATTCCTTTCATAAAGATTTCTTTTGAGTCCAGTCCAGTATCGTCCATTGATGGAAGCGTGCAGGATCTCACTACACAGCATTCAAACTTCGAGAGATCGTAGTTTACAAAGTAGTAGTTACAGAATCAACAAATTGACATGCTCCTGCTCGCCGCTGGTTCTGCAACTTCCTGTCTCATTAATCATTACTGGCGCAAACTTCGACTACATAGTTCTGATCAACCGCGCATCAACCTTCCAACACTATAGTTAAACACTTGAAGCTTCAAATGAAGGATACGATGTGGTCGTGAAGATACGATAGACACGACATTCGAGTGAAGTTTACAGTGCCTACCAGAAGTATCGGATGAAATCGCACCTTCATCCGAAGCCAAGTTAGTCGAGTCAGCAATATCTCATGCGTGCATTGCAATGGGACCGGAGCTCCAATGATTTGGAGTTATTTGATCCGGGGTTGCCTGATTGACGAGTCAAAGTTGACGTCTTGGTATTGAAGGTTTCAAAATAATAAAAATACAAATGATAACGAATCAATGAAATTATTAATTTTTCGGGCATGATTTCGTTTTTTACTTTTAAAATTTTTAATTCAATATGTATAACCCTATGCGAACTAAGAATACACTTACCTAATGTGTGAGTTAAAGTGCAGAAGGAAAACTGGTTGATCAATAAAACATAAAAGTATATCATGATTAAAAAACAATTGCTAAAAGAAATGAAGAAAGGGGAGAACTTCCAGTTTTTTTGGTGGCAATAATCTAGAATCGAAATATAACTTAATCAAATTATCATGAAAAATTCAGAATTTTCTAGTTAATTGTGTGAAGTGAGAATTGTTATTTTCATTAAGTCTATGCATTGTGCTATAAAGACAAAATTTTAAAGGTTTGAAATCAATTAGATAGCAAAATGATCATAATGATAAGTTGTCTGTTATCAATACAAAAATCAACATTACACGAGAAAAAGCATATGGAGTTAATAATGGCAGTAGTGAATATTTACAATAAAGAAAAACATTTTTTAAATTGCATAAAGTAAAAATTGTCAGTTAGAGAAGGACAAGTGCACAGAAAATAATGAAGCCTTCATCATAAAAAATATGAATCTCAATAGACACATGTAATGTCGCAATGAAAAACCTGTATTTAAAGTTTTTAATGTTTTTGTATCATCTAGATTATACGATCTAAAATAATTATGAGCTTCCTATAAAAACATCATCTACAGTGATTACTTTCTTGAGTATGATATCGGCTAGTGCTTTCTGTGTTGCAATGTATTAGTCTACAAACTTAATTGAGTCATTAGTGTCATTGTCAAAATCGAAAGACTTTTACGTAGGTCATCACAAACATGTACAAACTATTTATATATATCAATGCTCAAGAGCAATATGAAATCATTGCTATTTTTTCATTTTTTTACACTCTAGTTATAGATTCAGTTTTTATTTTCACATCCAAATGAAATACATGACTCATCACATTTATCATATCCACATGAGATGATGTTAATGTCTTGTTTCATTCAATCATCTCTCATTCGTAAAGATTCAAGGTGTGCTTTCAAGTTTTTTTACTATATAAACGTGAATTTTTTCCAAAATCATAAGCTTCGAATTTACTTTTCAATCTATAAGATTTTTTATGAGCTTTGATGTTATTTTGTTTGAGCTAACTTGCAGGAAGTGACATTATTGACTTTTGACTCCAAGTGTGACTATGTTAAATAAAATCTCATTGAATTTATTCTCATCATCTCTACTCACAACAATACACATTAAAAGATATCAACCTATGATTTTAGTCCGTTGCAACTATTTAGTTGCAATATATGTATGAAATTGCATAAAGAATTATGTTAGAAATTGAGTGTTTTGTGAAACAAGAAATCAAATATATATGAAATTTGGTTGTTGGAATTATATTCTATGATAGTGAAAGAAGGTTTGAAGTATTTGAAATACTCTTTTAGAAAAAATTTAGATTATTTAAAATATAAATCCCTGTGTCATTGTTTCATATTAATAACTAAATGAAACTATCAAATAAAGAAATGATGAGATATGATTGAGAATTATGATGATAACTATTTTTAATATAAGAAAAAGATTATGTTCTAAAATTTCTTTTAATTCAATTATTTTTTGTTACTAAAATTTGTTGACAAATTTTGTACATAAGTTATTATGATTGTTTAATAAATTTACGATTTTCAGAGTTAGTATTTATGTAAGATGTACAAAGAGTTGAAATTTGTCAAGAGTAGATTTACATCATTTGCTTTCTATAATTATCTCTAACTCGTATGATATATCTTATATTTCTACATTATAATGAGTGAATTTACAGTATGCACATTAAAATAAGCACAAGTCTTTTGATAAAAATAACCAAGAGCTGTAGTGAGTACATATCAGTAAAAACTTGAGACGTTGTGCATCTTGATATATTATAATAATTTGTAATACATTAATGAAGATCTTGAATTATTAACATGATAATCTTTCAAACTCTACAGTTTTTTTATACTATTGAGTCCACACTTGTTATATTATGAAAAGATTAATGATAAATTTGAAAAAACTATATATCTATATATTGTAAGTTTTTTATATTGAAATTATTCAATTTTCTTCAAAGCAAATAAACTATACAAAAGATTATGAAACCTAAATTTTTTTCTAATTTGATACTTTTTGACTAAATTTGCATCACGATTTTATTACATATTGCTTTTGAAAAGGCTTGTTGTTTAAACAATCAGCACAGTATGTGAAAAGTCTTTAATTTGAAAACAAAATTTACATCTGACTATCTACTTAAATACTATATGAAAGAGAACATGGAAAAACCCTAAAACCTAGAATCAAATTTTTGTGCAATGTGAACATAAATTTCGGACAAGATTAAAAAAATCTTTGAGTTTTCTTTTAAATATGAACAATAAGAGAAAATTGCAACTAGCAAGCTGGATGGAGGAGATGATATTATTTTGATGAAAGTTCAACTCTTGATGTGCTCAAGTTAGCTTTGAGTAGTTAACGTGGGATGAAGATTAATTTTGAATTTGGTCGAAATACCATGGAATGAATCTCCTTTTGCAAATGATCAAAAAATATTTGATTTGAGCACGATTAGTAGTGAAAATTAAAATCAAAAAAATATATGAAATGTATTAGTTTTGAACTTTGAGATCCACATATCAAAAATTAAGGAAGAATTAACTTGAAGACTCTCCAAATTGCAATGTTTAAGTACAAACTCTTATCCCTGCAGGGTAAAGTTTTTTATATTAGGGTTGGCGAAGGATTTCAACAAGACATAAATGAGTGAAAAGTAGACCAGAAGATTAGTAGACTACAGTCCTTGCTCAAGTTTGAAGAAAATATTACTCTGGAGGAGAAGACAAAGGTTGTTGGATGTAAATCTCAAACATCTAATTTGTTTTTCCTTTAACTAAAATTTGAAGGAATCATATATTAAACATAGGAAAAACTAGTCAAGTGAATTAAAAGCAATGCCATATAATTCCATCTAGGGGCATGAATAAAGACCATCATTACATCAAAGTCTTCAAATTATCTAAAGCTATGAATACTGGAATTGATACGTTTGTGACAGAGTGCAGTATGGGTCAAAATTTTTTTTATAAATAGAATGTTCGATAACATGTATTTATTGTTATATTGACATTAGTTACAAATATAACATATAGGAAAAGTTATATCAAATCCTTACTTAAATGAATAGATCTCCATTGAATTAAATAGTTGAAATAGTAATTAGTTGTTTTCGATTTGAATCTGATCATATCCACTTGGGTTTCATGCATGATGCAAATATCTATGTATGAGTTTATGGGATGTTCCCATGGTCTTTGCAATAGTCCTCTTCCTCCATATTTATTTTAATATGATAGAATAGAACTTACGGGTTGAACCGGCAGCCACGGGATACTTCATATCACCACAATGACATCTACTAAGAAGAACCTTTGATCCTCGCGGTCAAAGACATGAAGACATGGGCCCTTCACGAAGTTCCCAGCAAGAATAGAGAAATGTCTGGAAGCCTCACCAAGCGAGCCTTTCGTCATTCCACGTCACAGCTCCGAAGGCCAGTCGACAGGTCTGACCGAGAGATGTCGTAGCCCTGATTGGCTGACAAAGCAAGACCGGACACGTCGGCTCCTCGTCACCGCGACTTCGAGTGCACATTTCGCAACGATCCAAGGCACTGGAGTCTGTATCTGATCTGCCAGTCGCTGGCACCGAGCTGCAAATCGAGGCCGAAGTCGACTGCCGAAGATCATGCCTCGGCAGGATTGCGGAAATTTGGGTGGGAAGAATGTAGAGGACGACAGGAGCGATGGTGATTCTTCATGGGGTCAGCTTCGGTGCAGAGGTGCAGCTCTGTGGTGTACATGTTGAGCAGTAATCCGAGGCAGGTTCAGATTGATATCAGAGGCTAATGGATACTCTCGTTCATTGAGTCGATCGCGGACAGGCAGCAGCAGCAGCAGCGCATTGTAGGGTTTTGGTAGGGGTTTTCGAGGTCGTCGAGGAGGAGCATGTGGTGCAATTGAGGACATAGGGATTGAGATTGTTGGGCCAGAGCTCAGAGTGAAGTGTGGACTAGTGTCGCGATGCGATGATCGGTCTGCCACAGTGGCCTCAGTTGGGTGAGAAGTTGCTGATGCTCACTTCTCGCTGCCACCATGGCAGAGGGACGGGTGGAGTCGTCATGGTGAGATCGTGGGTGGTCGGGCGTCCCGCTGTGACTAGCAAGAGAAGGTTCGAGGTTGCATCGTCTCAGTTGACGCATCAGTGGCCCTTTGCAAGGTCTCAGTTGTCTCCGGCAGATTTAGGGAGTCGGTTTGCCTTCGTCAACTGTTTTGTCACTCATGTTCTGAAACCCCTGGTCTTCAATCGCCCCAATGCTGGGGCTCTGTCGCTGAAGGGGAATTTCTTAGTAACATCATTCTGTTCTGAAAGTTCGTCGGAGGAAACTCCTCGACAGGATTTGTCGACTTTCAAGCCACCTCCTCCCGCTCAGCCCGTTCGCCCTGAACATATACTCTCCGAAGTACCATTTCAGTATTGGTACAGTTATGCCGACCTCCCTGATAATAGATCGAGGAAGAAAAATTCGAAACAGACTGGTCAGGATGATCCGAACAGGTCTTCCACGAGGGAAAAGAAGGATGCTGCAAATTCATCACATTTAAGTCCAGAGGATCGGAGGAGATTGCTCTTGACAGAACTCAGAAAAGGTGCAGGTTCAGATGTTGAAAATTCAGAGGAACCGAGACGATGGCTAACGAGGGACCTGAAGGATAGTCCAGGTTCAGCTAGTCGGAAGCCTTCGGATACGATAGGATCTGCAGTGAGGGATCGGGTGGTAACTGCAGGTATTTCTGTAAAAAGAACGGATGGAACAAAGAGATCTCTTATGAGAGAACGTAGGGGGATATCAGGTGTATCTAGCGCATCTGAGGACCGGTCTCTCACGAGGGAAACGGTTGACAATACAGAATCTAGTGCAAAATCAGAGCCACCGAGGAGGTCTTTCATGAGAGAACGTAGGGTGATTTCAGATGTATCTAGCGTAACTGAGGATCGGTCTTTCTCGAGGGAAACGGTGGACAATACAGAATTTAGTACAAAGTCAGAGCAGCCGAGGAGGTCTCTCATGAGAGAACGTAGGGTGATAGCAGGTGTACCTAGAGCAACTGAGGATCGGTTTCTCATGAGGGAAAGAGTGGGCAATTCAGAACGTCCTACAAAGTTGGAGCAACCGAGGAGGTCTCTCATGAGAGAACCGAGACAAAAACCCCGGTCATCCAGTCCACGTAGAGGAAATGGAGTAGCTGCGGTCACCTCCACGTTGCAGATGAACGATGAGACGGCAAGAGATGAATTGTCGCAAACATTTGAAGTGCAGGATACTACTGTTGCTGAAAATGGTTGTTTAGGTGAAAGGGAGCCACATGACACCGTAGAGCAGGAAAATTTTGCAGAAAGGGATTCATGTGAAGTGTCAGAACTGGAAAAGGAAAAGCCAACGGCAACCAAGACTGCAGAAGACACAGAGAAAGAGGGTTTCCGCTTGAGTACGAAAGAAATCAACTTGTTGATTGACAAGTGTAATCGCTCCAGTCGCCAAATCAACATGGGTATGGACATCACTTGGGTGGCAGTCTATAGGCTGCACTGAACCTTTATGAAGCAGTCTCATTGTCTGATAAAAAATTCTCGACGTCTAGTATCCATTCATTCATCTTTGCTCATCTTGTAAATTCTCTTTTGATGTAGGGTGGAGGGGATGGGGTCATAATTACATCACGCTGGTCCATTCTTATTGGAAGAAGTCAGAAGTTTGCAAAATCAAGTGCAAAGGTGCAGTAACCTTGGACATGGACTTCCTGTGCAATAAGCTTGAAGTATGTGGCCCTTTTCCTGTTTTTGTGACTGAATCGTTTGCTGCTGTATTCTTTTCTTCAATTTTCTCTTAAGTCGTGGCCTTTGAAGGTTGGTACAAATTAGTAGAGAAGTGGTCTTCATCATTTTCGGAAATGTCGAAGGAGATGACTGACCTAGGGTTGGGTATCACAGGAAAAGACAGGCGGCAGAGTAATTCATCGAAATCAAGGTGTTGTTTATCTCTATCGAGGCCGGGATTACGATCCTAAGTTTGCTCCGAAACTCCCTGTTATGCATCAGCGAAAGAAAACTCCAGCTAAACGCCTCCCTATTCCATTTGGGCTGACGAAGGATGATGTTAACGCGTTGCGAGCCAGAGGAAAAGAATTGCCTGCGTTATGCAAGCTAGGTAAATGTTTCTTATACTTGAAGTTTAGTTATTATCCTCATTCTTTGCACATAAAAGGAAGGCCTTTCGCACAGATGGGAGAGAAAACTCTACGAGGCTTTGAATTCTATTGTGTCGCAAGTTCACAAATAGGTGTTTTTTGTCAGTTCCTCGTGTACAGAAGTCTCTATCTACTAGAGCTCTAGAGCTCACTTTGCAAATTCTTTAAGTCAGTCGATGGGCCACAACGTGCTTCCTAGGTATATTGATCTGAGAAGAGAACCTCTTACTTGTTTCGTTGCAGCAAAAAACGGCGTGTTTGTTACACTTTTGGACGATGTGAGGAAGGCTTTCGAGAAAAGTGATCTAGTTCGTGTCAACTGCCAAGGCTTCGAGGCGAGGAACTTCCGTGCCCTTGGGGTGAAATTAAAGGTTGGTTTGCTTTGTCTTTAAAGGCGTATGCTCTTACTTTGATAGCGTGCCTTTAAACCTTCAAGCTTGTTGTTCTTAAGTTACTTGAGTCTTACTTCTCTGACCCTTCTGTTACGTGAATGCAGAAGCTGGTTCCCTGTGTCTTAATATCTTATGAATTTGAGCACATACTCATGTGGAGATGGGATGGATTCAAGGCGCCGAGTCCAGAAGACGCGGTTCAGATGTCAGAGGAGAGTTTTAAGGATGAAGAGGAAGATGCCGATCATTGACCCTGGATTTCTGGGACATAGAACTACAGAGAAGGGAGGAGCAGTATACGCGAACAAGCGCTGTTCGTAGTAGAGCGTCGCCTTTTGCCCAGGTCGTAGAAAGAACTGGGACACTACATGTAACAGGAGCATGAGGCCCTACAATCATGTTGTAACGTAAGCAAAACACCAAGGTCATTTCCTTGCAAGTGACAAAGTCTAAGTGATTCTTCGTCCTGATTGGATGAATTTTTTGGGTGTGATGATCCGATCTTTGTTGTCGTAAAGAGCAAGAACTTAGATACACGTTCCACCAACTCATTCAGTTGTGGTGGTTGAGATAATGACAGCCTTGTGGCTGGGGTGAGAGTCTTGTTGAGCAGCGATTGCAGCTCGGAAGTCCGTACTCTCGGATTGTAGAAAGAGGGAATTTCATAAGCATGGATGGGGAAGGCAAGAATATGTCAAAGTTGCTCCCCTTTCACAAGTAATAGGAAATGTCATCAGGATACGTCAGGATGTTGGTTCTGATACTCCTCAGGCATCGACAACAGTGGCAGACTTTCCGACTAAAATGAATGATATGTGTGCAATCCTCACTCCGTAATCTGGTATTATTTTATTTCCAGCTCATTTTCCAAGATGTGAGGAAAATGGATAAAGATGTTAAGATGAGTATCGCTCATAAATTTCACTCGGTCAATATGGACTGAAAATTGGATTCGATATGTTGGCTCTAACATAATGTGGAACCCTCACGACGTCAACTTGCCAGGTACGTCAGTTAGACTCCTCAGAAGTAGAAAACTGACAAATATAAGGTTGCTTATAGCAGTGTGCTGGACAGTAGCTGTCGAACATTCCTGTGAGAGATTTTTAATAAGAAACATTCTTCTTACTCTGCTACCAAATCACTAGCCCGAGCACACTACTTTGGGACACTTTCATCGAGGTCGGTCATGCATGGACTTTATGAGCGTTCCAACTCCGTGCTGGTTCAGAAAAGACCCAACGAGGCACAAAGCGGTTTTCAGGAGGGTAATTTTACCCGTAATTTAACCTGTACTCTTGTGGATAGGGAATGCACTGAGTTTCACATCTAAAGCTTCAATCTGAAGACAGTAGGGGTTCTCCACAGGATCAAATGCCACTCAGAAGTCGAGTCTCGGTGGATATTTTAGGGCCAGTAGTTGACAGGCAGCCAGTCTCTGTGTAGGTTAGGAAGGTTGCTAATACGCCAAAAGTGGCCCCGTTATAAATTTTAGACTCCGACCGTGAGTTGCAGATAGCTCGTGACTGTGCGATCCGTAGTAAGGATCGATGAAGATTCGTATTAATCCTCGACCGGTTTTTTGATTCTCGTCCACACAGGCTGCCCCAGCATGTCCAACGGATGCAGTATCTTTCTGGCGAAATGACTGTCGTACATGTACTTCAAACGACAGTATCATCATCGTGTGTCGTAACATTAGCCTTGCAGCTAGAGTCCCTCGCAGTAGACAGGGGTGGGAGTGGTGTGAACCAGCAAGAGCTGGGTATCTATCGACGTACTTGGAAGTGCAAACAAAATGGTTTTTGTCTGTAGGCTTACTACATATGGATCCACTGACCTGTGAAGCAGAATCTGCTGACCTCAAGTGTCCACACTCCCATCATAATTGCAGTCAGACCTGCAAGTAAAACAAGTTATAAGCATATATATTATCAAAAGACATGGAAGTGGCAGCCAAATTTACCAAAGAGCAGTATTTGAGTGTTCAATAATGTTGACTCCCTTAACAGTCTACTGCATAATCATAGTCATGCCGGAGAAGCTCTCCGCCATGACTTGTTTAGAACATGTTGTTCATGGGATATGATGGCGGTGAGCAGTGTGATGAGTGAAGCAACCCCCGCAGCCTTTCATAGATTTAGCCTGTCAGCCCAGCTAACTGCGGTATCCCACAGCAATTTACTCGGTCACGTTTCACAACCACCTGGGCTTCTCGTCAAATCAACTAAACCAGTAATTTGGATTGATTTGCAGTGCAGTGTGTACCTCTCGGTCCCTCCAGACTGCTGACGGACAACGCCTAGAAAACCTGCATGAAGCCCTGGCAGTACTCCGAATTCACAAAGAATGCACTCTCTCCACCGCCTATCTCTCGAGTATATTCGAATCGAAGGAGGACAAACATGGCGACGAGTGGTGCATCCTGGATCTCAGTCCTTATCGTGACGGAGAGACGTACATGAAGAAGAAGACCCGAGACCCAGTGAGTAGCCTTTAGAACGTGACATGCACGGCATTCTGGTCTAGCTAGAGCCAGCGCGTTGAGAGGTCTTGACCTGGTTTTCATCCCCTCCCTACCTTCTGATAAGCGACAGCGGTATAGCAGTTAAGCAGAAGCACGATTTCTGTACCTTGCAATGCGCGGGGAAGGACAGGATCGAGACAAGAGATCTCGGACGAAGAGCTGGAGGTGGCCTATACCTCCAAGGAGGATAGTATGCCATATATGGAAGTTAAAAAACAGAGCAAATTCCAATGCTTCTCGATTTTAGAGGCCCATTTGGAATTATGTCAACCACGCAAATTTCCTAAAACCTTGAACCTCCTTCAGTGTTCGTTTTAGCTGGGTAGACGTTGGAATGATGTCAACGAACTCGCAGTGCCAACCATTCAGAGCTCCTTCAGTTTTACCAAAGTTTATGTATTAGCTCTCGACCTCCATGAATCCCTGTTGCTTATATTATCAAATTGCGCAAATCTGGAAATTTGTGCACGAAGTTGTGACAAATTATAGCCAGATCAATTTACAGTAAAACTCGAGAAACTGTTCTTATCGAAGCATTTTTTTCCAGTGAGCCTGACACTGGGAACCGCACTGTGGGAGCTTACTAAGTACAGATGATCTCAGAGAAGGTAAGAGATTGTTTGAGTTCAGATCTGAGCGTAATGAGATCGGAGAATCGTCACTGCAACTTCCGACTCGCAGACTGTAAGCAGTCATCTGAAGAAGCTGCGGTGGCAAATGCAATCACTGCACATCGGAGCGAGAACAGTACGACGAGAACAGAGCTTGCCCCGATGCACGTGATCACACGCCCCTTCGCCGGGTGGACATTAAAGAGAGCAGAAAACTCGAAGCTAGAAGGGCATGAAGATTGAAGGGAGCAGTACTAACGTGCCAGGCGAACGACACAGCCTGCGGAAAACCTGCATTCCCAGGGCCATAGATCTCATTAAGCCTAAAATCTGTCGTCTCGAAATTCAGAGTTTATCTTGTCAATGATCAAAATGATTGAACACATTAAAGTCGAGTACCATTGAGGTGTGATAAAACCATCACCTAACACAACAGCAGGCGAAGTCAGGATCCGGTCCTTCGGTACATCTGATGATTAGTTCGGATAGAGCTGTAAATGAGAGAGCTTCCAGCGATTCCAGCCAGCCGATCAGAGCTGGGCCGTGCTTGTCCGTGTTCAAGAGCTTGCTCGTACGAGAACTACTTGGGCAGCTACGCTTCGGATCTGGAGTCTGCTGGACTTTCTGATGTGCCTGCTTCCTCTTGATAGCCTTCCTTTCTGAGGCACTAACACCGGACGGCACATCATTTCCATCTTGATGAGGTCGCCTCAAGATTTTGCAAAGGTCCGGGCTCTTGCAGGAAGATTTGTTCTCATGAGTCTAAACTCTCGGACGACTTAGGCAGCAGCTAAACAAGGAAGCAGGCAAAGAGGCCTCGACCTTAAGAAACTATGGCACTGGATTTGGGTTGAGGTCAGAGACGTAGGCCATGCAGTGCTGCTGCTGGACATAGACCATGCGAGAAATCTTGAAGGCTCGAGCCCCGAAGGTGCTGGATGGTGGTGGGACTGACGAACTGGATAGCGAAGCACTCTAGACCCGGCCTACCCTGGAACCCAGATCAAGGCAAGGCGCTTTCGAGGCCATAGCCTGATAAGGTCATGATGCCGGATGTTCGTGCATTCTTCGTGGGTTCTTATACTTTTTCAAGGTCTTGAGTACATGGTTCGCTGCAGCACAGGCAGGACTTACATGCTCTCTCGAGTGAGTCATGAACTGCTCTTCCTCTGAAGAAAGGCGAAAAGGGAGAGGCAACTTTCAGCGCAGCCTACAGACTGGATTTTACTCAAATCCTGATCATACAGACTCCTCCCCACTTCCCTTCAGTGAGCCCTGCCTGTGCAGTCCATAAGCCGACAGGGATCTGACCCGGTGGTATGCAGGATATAATCCCAGCTGCAGTCTGGAGAATTAGTATCCCCTAGCTCGTCTGCACACAAAAATGTGTGGCAGTGAGATCGATTGAGGAGCTGGAAAGTAGAGGAAGAAATAAATCGGGAATTAGGCTTGCATTTGGTCGCCCCAGCTCCAAGGAAATCAGATATGCACCGTGCAAATCTGCATCGCTCGCCTTCCGTTTTCGCCTTGGCAGGGAGCCTGCTTAAGCGGCGGGCCTCAGAGTCCAATGAGCATCAGGGAAAACATGGGACCCACTTCCCAAGGGGCGGGCCTGAGCTGCTTTTGGCAACAACTCGTCAGCTTTGCTGAAATCTTTGCTCCGGGTGGTCCCCACGGTTCTCGGACCAGTCAATTATTGACAGTCTGGGTGGCCATTCCATCAGACACTCGGCTCTGAGAACACGCGGATCGAGCACAATTCTGCTCTCCAGGCATCGTACGAGAGTACAAAAGATTCGATGACAGTCAGGAGGGAGCTGATCTCGTACTGCTCGCATCCTGGTTGGCCAACTTTGAAGAAGAGGCGACTGGATCTGCCAAGACAGCGCAGGCAGATCGTGCCGGAATTGCGAAAATAGAATTGCAGCAGTCAGTTTCAGTCTAGTGACAGGAGCTCGTTCGTTTCTCATGAAATTGAAGGCGATCGTTCGGATTCCTCAGCTCCATCGGCGTCTATGGTAGCCTTGGAGGAATCACTTGCTCTGCAGACTCTGAGGCGAGGGGAGGGCTGGAACCGAATGTGACACTTTTTTTGTACTTGGAGACATCACCGAGCTCGGATGCTGAGGCCAGTCCGCATGTCGGGAGCTGGCGGTCGGCTCTTCGCATGTGATCGGCAGAAGTTGCTGCAGCTGCTGCATCTTTTGGACTTTTTGGCAAACTTGTTTAAGGATGCAATCTGAGGCTTGCGCACAAAAACTCGTGCCCTCCATGCAGCCATTGAACGTGGATCCAATCGCCACAGCGCAGCAAGTACTGTAACGAGGCTCCTTCGAAGTTCACGTGTTTCTGGCCTAACTTATCGACTTCATGACATTGATTCTCTTTCCAGCTTGATTCAACGAGACTCGTCGTGGAGAGTTGGACCTGGAGTTGCTTCAACATCCTTACTTTCGCCTTCTGTCGATGAAGGCCTTGGAAGTCTAAGACCTCTGAAGCTGATAACTGTGATATCAAATCACAAGCCAGGTTTCGGCAACCATGACCTGCGCTGTAATGGAAAGTGAAGCCGAGGCGATGAACCAACCGGCACAACATAAAAAACTCCCATGTGGTATTACGCTCGCGTGTGAGGGCGCGCACTTCTTCGTCCAGGAACATCTAAATGAAATGATCAAAAATAATTGTCTGCTAAGCCCATCAAAATGATGGCCTGCTACCCAAAGAATAAACACCAAAACTAATCATCCTTCAATAATTACTATATACTCATTGAAGGAACTACACAGATGCACAGATGCGCTGAAATACCTCGTACCAGAGTGGCTGGTTGTTCTGGTCGCTAAATGCAGCTGGCTAACGACCAAATCAGTCATGCAAGCCTGCAAAGCACGAGCCCTCTACTCTAGTTGAAGTCTCCAAGTTGCGATTTGTCCATTGTTGCAATATCGCACACTGAACTGCGAATATACAAGCTTTAATTGAACTACTGGCCATCAACTTGCCTATCATAAATGATCATACATCAAGCAGAAACTGGACAAGCACATCTGGGTTCGTGTACATGAGCCAATTCTGTCCCAGAGCACAAGGAGGGCAGTCGGAAGCCCAGAGTAAAGCAATGTAGCCTTTTAAAACAATACAGTTAATCGGAGCTGACAACGGGTTTCATGGAGAGCGTGGACTGCACAGATTCTAGTAGTTCGAGGGCGTTCAGCTGAATTCGTTCAGCTGAATATACCAAACAGACGAGAAAATGGGGAATCCTGCTTCATATAATTAAGGAAAATATTTACAATCGAGAGAGGCTAGAATCTACGCCGAGGACGTAAGGTCCTCGTTCCTTATGTGTAAAGGGTTCAACCCAAGCTTGAAAAGCCGTTTTCAGACATCCAGGATATGTCAATTCAACACTATACGAAAGAAACCGTCAGTTTGGACCTAGGCGAACTGCAACCTCACCAGAATTGCCCTGAACTTTCTGCAGGATGTGGGATTTCTCGAGAAGAGCTATGCTACTAAAGTTGTGGAAGCTCAGCTGAGACAGCAAGCAAACTCTCCTTCTAAATTCGAGTCTATGATATCTGAAGCGGATGGTGTTGAGCTTTGAGGTACAAGAATATCACAGACTCACGAGATTCAGTACATATGATCCCGAGAAAGATACAGGTCGTGGAAGACAGGTCAGGCGTTCTATCTCACAACTCTGATTTCGCTCGTCGATCTCGCCTTCTTATGCACATGGATGGAACAGGGGCTTAGCAAGAGCACCTTGCCTGTGAGTACAGCAGATTTCATGTCAGAATGCAGAAGCTTCAACAGCGATTCCTCAAAGTGGCACGGAGGTTGACCTTGGTCACGCTTCCACGGCAGCCGGGGCCTCGGGAGGAGGCCAGAAGTCCGCTCCCCTCTTAAATTCCTTCCTCACTGCCTTCAGAACCAATTCAGGAGGAGTGTACCCCTGGACAGTGACAATTTGACTGTCCGAGTTACACTGCACGCCCTCGACGCCCTCGACGCCCAGCAAATGTTTTACCACTCGCTCAATACATCCCTCGCAGCAAAGCGGCGCCATGAAATCCAAGACTCTGAATTCTGGGGGGGGAGGTCCTGGCGGAGGAGGGGCAGGCTCAGCTGGAGGCGGCGGCGGAGGAGGTGGAGTGGCAGGACGGCAGATTATCGTTTGCGACGCAGCTGTGTCTATCAACCATTCCGGCTCAGGCTCTTCTTGCCCATAGAATAATCCCTTGACAGACATCATTCTGAGCTGATCGTGTACCTTTCTTTAACACGCTTGCTGAGCTCAAGAACTGAGCTTCAGACCTTCAGGTGTGACGGGACGGAGGCTATGAGCCGACGATGTTCTCGAGTTTCGTCTGCAGTATTTATCGATGCTCGGTGCTTAAGCTGTGGGAGGGCCGGTCCACTCACTAACTCTTCCACAAGCTGAGCCCCAGTGAATTGTAAGACGAGGTCGAAGGAAGAAGACCAACGTTCAATCCTGAGATATATGTCAACGCTCTCGAAGATTGCTCAGTTGCTGGCTCAGCAGCCGGAGGAGCTTCAGAAGCAAGCGGGACTCGATACAAGGAAGCTCGTGTGCGGACAACCCCGAGCTTCTGAGTGCAATATTGATCACTGCTAATCTCACTCTGCGAGACGAACTGTTGGAGTATTAAATACGTGCACATGTGCTATCCAAACGGAAAATCAAATGTAATATAATGGTTTTGTGATTGGACGGCATAGTATAATGATGATGGAGAGAATGTCCACAGTCCTCATGCTGTAACCCGAGAAAGGGCCGCTTTTCAAGTCCAGCTAGTCTTACGGTAGCTAGGCTTGTAGAGGTAAATATGAGACTGCAATCTATGCTGCCGACTGCTGGAATGGTACATACTGGAATGTTACCTGCCTATGAATGAAAAGGAGGTGGGGCCTCACGAGTCCCGGCTGCTCTCCTCCATTATTGAGCTGCTGCTGCTTCTGCTGCTTCTGCTGGCGCTGGCGCTAGAGCTTGGGCGGCTGCCCAGTTACCTTTCTCAAGCTCAGAGCGAGTGAAGGCAAGTCCTGAAGGAAAGCTGAGAGCGCAGCCTGCCAGCGTGTGCAGGAGCTGACCTTCCAAAAGACGGCTACCAGATGTATTGTCCTGAGAGTACATATAAAGCCAGATGGATTTGTCCATTTGAAAGCTGGTCCTCATGCAGCAGCAGCATACTTGCCCTGAAGAAGCCAGTTTCGTGCAGCGGACGGTCCGATCATGCAGATTGAGCTCGTGGACCGGGCTCGACTCGTAGAAGGAGGTGCAGTCTGCGATACGAAGGCGGGCTGCTGGCGGACAGAATGTGCCTGGAGTATCAACAGCTCGGTACCTGGCCTCAGAGAGCGAGATGGGATTCTCGGAGCTCGACCAAAAGGAGGCCACCTCCGACTTTCCGTCGGGTTCGTGGATGAGTGGAAAAGATCTGGGGCGTGTTGGAAAAAGTCGGTGGGCACGTCCGTGGCTCGGCCGCCGGCCAGGTGTCCACATACGCCAACCGTTTCCACTAATCTGCTCACATGCCCGAGCTCTGTTGTTGTTTCGTGAATGATGGTGGCGATGGCGATGGGGGTTGGCGATGGGGACCGCTCTACGATATTGTCTGCGCAGCGCATCCTACTCCGGTCCCTGCAGAGCTCTCTAGCCTAGGCCAGCTCGGCTCGATTGCCAAACCTCTACGCTCACGGGACATGGATTCAGGCCCCATGACCCCATCCCTGCCCTCCCTGCCCTCCCTGACATCTGAAACGTAGGCCAGTGTGGTGGACTCATACCCTTTCCTCTGAGACCGGAGGCCGTGGAGTGGGAGAATGTAAGAAGCTGAATCCGCAGCCGCAGCTGGAGAATTCAGACCCTCAGAGCCTCAGAGCTCCAGAGCTTGGATGATATGGTCATTGGCTGTAGGCTTGACCTGACGGGGCTGGCCATCTGTACCTGGGGATTGAGGACCCGGTTTACAAGACTCGGCTGCCGACCAGAGCTTCAGCTCAATCAGCTGAATCAATCCTCCTCGAGCCTGAATTTCTTCGGAACACGATGGGCGATTGAAGGTGGAGCTTTAGCGCTGTCGGTTTCCAAAACCAGGCCATGGCAACGCCTCCTTCTGTGGGAGCTTGACGCAAATGGACGGCTCAGTACTCAAGCGTGGGGTCGGAGCTGGCTTCTTCGCCCTGGGCGTGTACCGGAGCGAAGGTTATGGCAGCTCTAGAGCTGCAGCAGAGTGACGTCACTGCGGATCGGGAGCAGGTGCTGTCCGTTCTTACTCGATGGGGAAGCATCGAAGGTAGTGCACCCCAGCTGCGGCCGGCTTGTGCCCGAGTGAGTCCAAGGGCAGCGTGTGCCTGATGTACCGATTACGTACACACGAATTTGGCGTGATTTCGAAGTCTTCGATCGAGTCCAATTTTCTAAGCCGGTCGATGAGTTCGGCTATTTAGATCTCCAGGGTGTCACTCTAAGCTACTCCCTCCCTCTCTTGGCACTTGCGATGATGATTAGAATCTATGCTTCGAAGAAGTTTCTCGTGTGAGGGCGGAAGCCATAGCCAATACGCAAATACCGTTAATTTGTTAGATAATCGAACATGTGGAAACTGATACGACGCAGCGTATTATTATGTTTTGCACTTCCCATTATCACCAGACACCAAATTCTTCACCTCTACCCCTCTTCAGGCAAATTGAAACAATCAAAGCTGAACAATGAGATTTTTCTCCATGAAAGAGGTCTCTATATGAGCTAGAGCTCTGAAAGCTAATGGAGAATTTACTGCAGCTGTTGAAATGCTGGTTTACGTTCCTGAGCCTGAATCTGATTGAGTCATATGCAGACAGACGAGGTTGAAGGACCTGAATCTAGACAAGTGAAACGGGAAGAAAGAAATTCTCATAACCTTGGCTACGATGCCATGTCAGTACGAGTAATGTCGAAGATGATAATGTAATAGATAACGCTTGCTGCTCAGAGCTGCAGCAAGTCTAGAGGTACCTCTAGGCTGCGCTCGATCTTCGTGGTGATGGCAAATCTTTGTCGTACCGAGCGCCGTTGGTGTCATAGATCTAGCGTTTCGCTACCCCGGGCATACATGTGCGGATATTATAATCGCTGGACCCTAATACGGCAGTGGGAATTCGATTCTGAGAAGCTACGTTCGGTAGCTCAATCCGATACCAAGCGTTCCGTGAACCCCAAGAATTTATACATCGGATGACTCTCGTCCGTGATGCTGCAAGACGACACACGGACGAGCATTCAATGGACGCAAATTCAGCACGTTTGACAAGTCGCTCAAGGAGAGAGGGAGAAGTTGTCTCAGCTCCCCCGGCAACAAGTTGGAAGGAACATGTGATTCCATCGGTCTCATCTGCTGGGAAAAGTACAGGCTTTGAATGACATCAGTCTCCGGCAAGCTCGTCGCGTAATCTTATCAGCTTCCACGCCTAGCTGCTGGATCCAGAACGCGTCGAAGCCAGTTGCGTGCTCCGAAAAGATTTATCGTCGTAGACTAGAGTACGAAGTACTGCCGTGCTTCTCATCTCACTGTCATGAGTAGTAGCCTCAGCGGAGCTACTACCACTCCGTGGGGGATCCTCCTCTTCGTCTGCAGTCGTTCCGTCCATGGTGAGAACACTTACTCGGTGCTGATCCTGGTGATCGCATACCTCCGAGTGTTGCAAAGCCCATCGTCCCTGCGTCTGTAACTTCAACAGCCGTACAGTAATATCTGCGAGTGGTTGTACGTTCGAGTCTGACAGCAGCTGAGGCGTCCAGCCTTCAATTTGCTGCAGATCCTTCGACGTCGAGGAGCACGACTCTGAGTCTCTGAGGCTCCCGTCGTCTCAAAGCTCTTGATCTTGGACGTTCTCGGCATCGGCATGTCGATTGCCTGACTGCGGTTCTGAGCTGGGTTTTGGAAGAAGTGGAGAATGGGGAGAAAGGATCGAGAATACGATGCACCGCGAGCGGTTGTATCGTTGATCGGCTATGAATCCTTCAGAAACTGTAAGTCGTAGTCGACTGTCATCGTCCAGTTTTGTGAGGGGGCGAGAGGATTTTCCCACAACTCAGGGACACGTCCAACGTGATCCACTTGTGGAACCGGACAAAATCATGCTCCGGGACTCGTCTCCAGAATTCAGATACTGTAATTTTGGCTTCTCAGTGAGCTGATTTTATCACATATTTCAGGTTCAATTGTACTAAGCTTTTGCCGACATTTGGGCACATATGTGAAACAAAAATTGGTGCATCCATGGCTCACAGTCGGATGAGATCTGGGCTCTCTAGGTTTGTACTCTATGTTCATCAGGCTGAGTGGTAGATCGCCGAGGATGTGAAGCATAGAGAGAGTTTTAATGTGAATTCGTCCTCCCGAATCTTACATCTGGAACAAGTGATGCCAAACCTGATGCTCGAGGCGTCATCTGAGCCTGGATATATCAAACCACAGCGCTACGAATAATATGAGGTCAGTACTCTGAGGGAGCCCTTGCTGTCTCTGACAATGTCTCGGTGATGCTCCTCGAAGCATGGCTCTGAGTTACAATCGGTCCATCAGACGCAAAAAAACATGCAACCTCTTCAACAAAGTCAATCGAGATATGAAACCACGACCACGCAGCCTCACTGGCCACGAGTCGATCCTTCTTCGGAGGATCCTAACCAGCCCTCGAATTGGTAACAGCAGCCAACAGCTGCAGGTAGAGTCCAAAAACTGGCCTTGAAGCTTCAAACCTTCATTCATGTCTTCTTTGTTCGCTCCACGACATTCAGCCACTACTCGTGCACAGCAGCCACGGCCCACTCACTCTTTCCTCTGCTCTGCATTCGATCGCTCGTCCTCCTTCCTCGCGCACTGTAACGTCTGGGAGTTGATGATGGCGTACTTGGGAGGCCGTACTCAAACGAAGTTCGGTTCGGACCGGATCCGAGCTTACCGACGTCGTCGGGAAGGGAGAGCTAGAGCGTTACAGCCCACTGACTGCGAATAAAATGGTTGCGATTCGCTGCCATGGGTATATGATTGGACGTGAACTCGACTCGAATGTGTCGATAAAACTGGAGAGAGTCGAGGCCGAGGAGTAAACAAATAGCTGAGGAGTAAACAAATAGCGAGTGGTTGTGCTTTCCATGTGGGCACTGAAAGGTCCAGGCAGGTTGTTGTCCTGGACCTGTACATGTTGGGCTTCGTGTTCTGTTCCTTGTCCTGTTCCATGAAACATGGACCTAGGCCTGCTTTAGTCTTGTTGAGCGGTTTTGCCGTGGCTCATGCTGTACTGCTTCTCGGAGCTTTAAAGCTCCACACATTTATCTGAGGAAAAGGTCTCACGGTGGCCCCTGATCGTGTTCAGCTCTAGGCTTGAATGCCTCTGTCTTAAATGTGACTAGCCAGAAAGAGTCAAATATTCGACTCGGACGAGCTCATGCTCATCGGAGACTGTGCTAGATCCTGCACAGGTAAGACTTCCGTATGGCAACAGCCCTTGTCGATTGTTGAACTCTCATGTCCATGTTGTGACAAATCCAAACTTGCAGTGTTAGACATCCGACCTCAGATGGTACGGTGGTGAGTGAGAGAGAGGGTCAGCGAGTCAGTCGGACACACTTCTCGAGGTGAATAACTTAAAGCAGGTCTCCGAGACTCAGAAAGGAAACCCACGTAAGCTTGGATTGATGGAAGATGACCCTGGTCCTCGACAGATTCAGGGAATGATAATGCTACTGCATTCAAATTGCCGTAGGCCGGCGTAGCCTCTCGACACAGAGCTACACAGGATCAGACCATCGAGGCACCGTCTCTCAAAATACTCATTCGGTACGATCCGGTGCTGGCTGGTGAGCTCGGTCTGGTTCTATTCACCGACAGAATATAACTCTTGGCTTCTCAGGCCTGGTCCTCACAAATCCAGAAGCGAGGTAACTCGAGTTTTCAGATGGTGTCCACCTCGTTGTGGATAGAACGGCACTCGCATAACCGCTAACATCAGCCATGTCAGTGGTGGTCTTACCAGAAAGGCCTCGGCAGTTTGCGATGCTTCGTTCAGTTGCACAAATCTCCACGCCCCTACCTACAGCTCGAACTTACCGCAGGCTACCATAACTCTCGTAGGTTATCTTTCGTCGCTGCTGCAAGCTGTGGGGAGCTGATCCATCAGAGCTTTTGATGTACCAGCAGTGACATGTCCGCGTGCAATCGGAGATTCACTTAAAAGGTTGGCAAATCGCTAGATAGGAAAGACCTCCAACAGAACCACTGTTAGTGGCACATGCATCAAAACCCAATAACTGCAGATCAGAGCTAAGTTTTAATGACTAACCTTGACTCGTCCTCTCGTACCGTTCATGACTCGGAAAGGTGTCGAAGTTGTTGGACATAACAGCCTACGTGCAGCACACGAACTTCAAACCCTGGGCTCTGCGTTTCGGTTGAATGTGCCCTTTCCAGCCGTGCTCCGCATCGTGGAGCTACCTTTTGCCATCTGCTACCTCCATACCTCCAAATCAGGATCAGGGCTGTGGCTAATCACGATGCACGTACTTTCGGGTTAGACCGATAGAGGGGCCAGCAGAGAAATCGGAAAAGCCAGAAGCACGTTGAGTCAAATTGTTAAAGTGAACATGAAAGATTCTGACATGTCCTGGTTGAGTCAGACCTGGGCCGCCGTGATCAACTGCCTCCTCGCCCATTCCAACTTGAGCTGATCACAACTACAGCTGACCAATTCTAACCAGCATGTAAGAAATCTAAGACTCGTTGATCTAACCTTCGGTACATGCCGTAAATACTTGACGAAAGCGGTGATTAGAGTTTATTATTCACGCTGTACGAAGATGTTTCGCTTAAATGGGAGTGTTTGCACGTGCTTCTTCAGTCATCTAGATATTCCCTCATCGTACTCTCCGGAACCCGATTCGACCATTTTTCGCCCTTTGTAAAGGATGAGTGCCCGGGCGGGGTGGGGTACACACCCATTTATGATGGTGTCTCGAAGGTATGCAAGGAAGAGTAATGCCATTGGCCGACAGCTTCCTGTCGGTGAACAAGCGTTCCCACCGTACATCAATTGCAGGCACTATGCATTTTTTAGCTCCTGCTTGCTTGCACTAACAAGTTTCACTACTATCAGGAAGTACATAAAATCTGTCTGCCTGCAGGCATGGGGAATGTCCGTGGTTCCTGAAAAATTAAAAACCCTCACCCACACGAATCGATTCTGTTGCTCTAGGGAGTAGCTGAGATGGAGTCTATCGGCTCTTCTAATAAGTTGCTTTAGTCTGGAATAGGGCCTCAGTTGTGTACCTTGCCACATGAAGCGGACAATTCTAGGGGTTCTATTCAACGATTGTATCATTATGGAAAGTCGAGTGTAGCAAGAGGTCGTGTACGAACCCTGCACAGCCGGCGTCTGATGCAAGTTCACAGTCAGATTCGATATTTCGAAAGGGCGTGAAACTCGGAATGCTCGAAAGCTGTGAAAGATCAACACACTTTTCTCTTTTATGAGAGAGCTCAACGGTTGGCTACTATGCAAGCCATCCCGGCTTCGAAGCACGGGTGATGCTCTGGAGTTTATTGGTAAAGTCGAACCAATTCCATCCCGTTAATTTATTGAGCTTCTTGGTGTCCTCTGCTGGTGACATACTTATAGTAACCACAGGGCTGAAGTTGGAGTTTTTCCCCTTAGGAGGTCTGCTACAATCATCTGCAAGGTAGACTAAAACTCTAACCTGAACCTCATCACGAGTGCTTCACTCTGTGGACCCTGTCCAGAAAATATAAGGGATGAGTTCATGTATTATGCTCTCAAGTATGTCCAAGGGCAATGTAGGTTCGGACTCATCGAAGGATAGGTAACATCACGACTTACATTTATGAGTGACTCGGAACATCATTTGAAGACATCGAGTCAAATCTGGAATCTTTGAGCAGATCGAGACATTCAGGAATCGCTCTTCAACTGTATGTCAAAGCAGCATGGGCCTCTGACGAATGGATGGGTATGCATCATCACGTTGAGAAAGCTTGTACCTTCAAAACTGTACAATTGAACAACTGTACAGTCGTCGACTTGGACTTTTCAGGTTGACGATAACATTTCGGTCGAGTTGGCACCCTGATTTCTAACATTTGCCAAAGGCCTGACCAGGTCGGATGTGTCAGAGCTTTGAGAAGTTAACAAAATCTTGAGCAAATATGGGCATTCCCCCGTAACCATTTCGAGCCTAGTGCCAACAAACTTGTGAATCAGAGTACCTACTAAGAAAGTAAATAACATACTAAATACACATCTCAAATGGTCCATTGCGCAAGAATATAGCTTCCTGCACTGGTTCTTACAAAAAACCTCGTGTTCTTCAAGATTTCTGTGTTTTTCAAGAATACAGAAATTTAAAAGCTGAATTTAATGTCAGCACTTCGACATCCCTCTAGAGCTTGACATTCCCTGCCCAAAGTCCAGTTATTATGCGACGTGAAATCAAAATCACCAAAGCACCTGAATACGCAGTCGCACACCGCGTGAGCTAGTTTCTCTAAGAAATCGGTCTTGAAAACTAATGAGGGTGCGAAAGGGATCCGGTGCACGAAAACAGTATTCAACAGGCACAAGAAATCTGTGGCACACACTGCACTCTGGCAGAATCCCACTGCTCGAACTCCGTGACTCACCTTCTTTTCTAGCATCTCTAATTGCTCTGCGTCCCTCCGCCTGTTCGGTTCGCGTGGCCTTCAATGTTGACTCACTGATTACAGCACTTCCAGTTGGCCGGGCGATATTCAAGTCTCGAGTATTTAAAAGGGAGCTCTGTAGTGGGCGGAAAAATGGACCTGTTCATACAACCACAAATATGGGAGCAGTTGATGTCGTGTTCATGATGAGCTGGTATGGCTTCGTCCTCCTGGTCACGGACGTCACCGAAAGGTGACCAGGACCTACTCGAGCGTGCGAGCCCAAATCCGAGCTTTCAGAAGACATGGAAAGAAAGTAAGAACCATGAGTACTTTGACAGCAGGCAGATGGTGGTACTCCAGACAAGACGAGTCGCAGTGCTCCGGATGAACATATCCATTTCTTGATTGCTCGTACTACGACAACAGATACCGATTTGCTCCCAGATGAGGCTGGACAGTCGTAGCCTCTCGGCTCGGCTTGTATCGTCGGCAACCTAATGTGACATCGTCGAGCTTCCGACGCAGCTGTACGTTCCGGTAAAGGTGTGGCATGGAAAATGAGTTTAAATCATGCACGGAGGTCTGATCCCTACCTTTTTGAACAACATCGGGTACGCGCGTGGGCGGGCGCGCGTCATCGATCTGCGCGCTGCGCAGATCAAAAAGACGTCGGGAAACTTCCTGGCATCAAAGCTGCTCTTCTTCCGTGAACTTTCCCTGGCAGAAATCGAACTGGAAAGATAAAAGGGCGTGGTGGCTGAACCTGTCCTGATTCGTCCTCGACGAGCACCGGTTGCTCGTTGACGAGACATCGAGCAAACACTCGGCGATAGCAGGGCCGGAGATTGGGGAGGTCACAGAAAGGCATAGTAACAGTTTTGCTTCCCAGAATAAAACAGAACAGAAATTTCTGAAATTCTGAAATTTTCTGACAGAAATGTTTCATGACATTAAACAAATCAGAGACCAGCGTGTGAAGACGACATGGAGATTTCCCACCCATCCTTGAAAAGATTTGAATTCGTAGTGGAGGTTGGACATTACAGACGACTACCGAGCGACCGGGCGAAATCTCCTTCAAACATGGCGACCCTTGCACAGACGGTAGGAGAAGGTCGGCGAAGACAATTGTGGGCATCGAGACAGAGGATCAATGATTTGGCCCCATCTAGACGATGAATCGCCGTTTGAACACAAGTCGGAAGGGAATCTGAAAACACAGAATTTTGGTAATCAAATTTTTCACAATTTTACGAGCACTGGGTGAGAAAAATCTTTAGCTTTGTCAAGCGCCTCACACCCAGATTAGGACCTCTGACTTGGGAAAATTCCGGAAGCACTCACTCGTCTCTGATGTATTCTCGGTAATCTTGCGTAACAACACTAAGGATCAATTTAGTGATGGACAGACCATTTACCATACTTGTAAGCATCGGAGAGTTAAAGGTAAAGCGAGTTCGTTCACAAAATTATCATCCACTTCAGTATCATCAGCTGATATGCATAAGCATGTCTCTGCGTTCCATACATAAGAACAAAGTTCCCGAGAATAATAGCTGCAAACGTGGCCTTCGGTCCTGACAATGCATATCGAATTTCTGACTACCACGAACCCAAAAGAAAGGTCGGGAGAGATTCTACAAATTTCGGAGTTCTGAAATCACGGAGTGATTACATAATCGTAACATTCGGCTTCCCTTGAAGTAGACGTAACAGAGGCTCACAAATAAAATGCCCTAGGCTAACATTATTCGCGCGCCATGGAATCCAGAAAGGATGTCAAAAAGAAGACGGCCTGCTTTAGGCGTAGGATGAAATCATGACTTGATTCACACGGAGGATGTTTCTGGGGCGTCTGGCAAGTACTTTTTCTCAAACTGGCGTCTCAAGTGGAGGCATTTTTCGTAAAGGTCGAGATCCAAACCATCCACATTTCTTGCAACCCTCACCTGCAGCATCAATTGATCTGGAGAGACGTAAATGGGATCCGGGACAAGCTCTCCGATGAACTGGTAAAGAGAACCCTTCCGGAAAGAAACGTCCCGCAAGAATTGTAAGTCCACCCTAAATCTTGAGCCACTGTGCGTGATCACTCCCGTCCCGCTCTCCACTGTATAACTCTCGAGCAAGCCATGAACTCGAACAGACTGTAAGGGTTTGAAGAATTGCGATCCTGGCTTGAGTTCCGGAAGCTGAACGATCACACCCGCTCTAATGTCGGCCATCACTCTCTGGCTGGCACTGAATCAGCTGATACGTCATACGTTCTAAACGTTCCCTCTTGCAAGAAAATTTTGAGGAGGAGCGAGTCATGTAGCGAAAATATGCTTAGTCTCCGTCAACTCCTACGGGGATAAAACCAAGTGTGTACGACGGGGCTAGGCTCCGACAGTATTACATATGGAAATATGTACTACACCATCAAACGTGTCAAATATGTCAAGATTTCCGAACTATCAAAATCGAATGCAGCGTATACAACTAAACAAGATCAACCAATGTCACTACATCATCTAGTGAAGACCACTGAAACCCTACTCTGAGAAATGTGGAAAATCGGTTGCAGATCTGCTTCTCACTTGATTCATGCCTTCCCAATTTTTTGGGCTATTTTCGCCTAATTGTTTTCTCTTCTTCCTCTTATTTTCTTTTAATCCTCCTCACTAGCTGAAAACTTGTAACAAGCATATGTGAAGAGTGCAGTTGGTTTAAAATTACCACACACGGATGCTTGTTAGAGGTAGTTGGCAAGTGATATAATATGAATTGGCTAACTCAAGGCAACCCCACGGGAAAAGGAATGGCTCTGAAGGTCGGCCATCCTTCGTGACTCAAAATGGTCGATTCCCATCTTCCTTCTCTTTGTCGAGAACTTTAGATAACAACATTTGATAGCGGAAGTAGTATAAGTGTACATATATTGCATAAGTCTCCATGGTTCAGAAAGTAGTATCTTCTGAAAATTCTTTCCATATGACTTGTGGTAGGGTTCGATCAGATGTAAGGGAAGTTTTGCGTTAGCTCCGATTCTGAGCCGGACAAATGCAGCATCAACAGATGTGACAACTTCGACGCGGAGAATGGGGGAGTTTGTGCATCAGTCTTTTCATGCTCCATATTTCTACGGATATAAGTGACATGGAGAACACAAAGAGTTTCGTTTGCATCCTGTTTTATCTTAGTACCCAGTAGAATTCGGTTTGGTGATGTAATTGAAGCTGTGACGTTTGCTATGGCATGAGAGTTTCAATACCTCATGTTGATATTCCTCGCAGTAAATTTACGTTAGGATATGCCTACATTTGGTTGGTATGGGACAAAACGTGATAAGTATAGAATTAAGGAGTTAGTGATTTCCCATCCTCTTCCATTGACAACCAAGAGCAACGGCAAGTGCATAATGTGTAGAAGCTCCTTGTGTCTCTAGATTTGGAGTATTTTAAAACTATGGATCTACTTTTTTATGTTCATGACGGGGAAAGTGGTCTTTGTGGATTAAAAGACATTGGATCTTTTGTAAGAAACGTGTACTAAAATGAAATTAGATTCCACAAAGAGCACTAGTTAGTTCTTTAGATGATTTTATACAATCTAGAGTTTTGATCTAGATAGTGGAAATATCTTAGTTGGATGAAAAAATGTAATTTATTGTGGTGGACTAGAATTCAGACTCATCTCACTTCTTTGCTTTCATTCATATAGGGTTTGGTAAGCTTTTACATCCTATTTAAAAAAAATTTTATTTCTTAATCAAAACAAAAATAAAGAATCTATAAACCATTATCAAATTTATATCACAAGCAAGCACGAATATGTATGATAAAAAAAATTTGCAAAGAAACTATAAACAAGACAAGTGAATAGAAATAAAGTGAAAAGATCATGAAAAAATACAATATTCAAACTAAAATAAGCTATGCCTCCATAGTACCACAATGTGAAATGTATTTTACATCATTTAGGAAATCTGGATATTCTAGGTTAAATAATCTACAAACGACAAGATTTTTGAAAAATCATCATCTAGCGTGGTAGTTTTGATAAACGTAGTATTTTCTGGTGCTCGATAAATGGAGAAATAATTTTGGTTGATATAAATACATTACACAATAACCTGAAATCGAAAATACTATATCGTCTTATCATAAATACATCTAAGTCCGATAGATTGTATTACACATGTAGTATTCAAAGTCAAATAAAAAAAATTCATAATTTCATGCTTGGAAATTCTGGCTAATGAATCTACATTTGCTCCCCACATGAGAATATATATTTCTGGCATGTATGAATTAAAAATCAAATTTACAACATTAACATGGTATATTCAAATCAGGTAATCCATGACTTTGTGGATGATAAATACATCCTCAAGATGATAAACAGAAATGTATTTTGTAATTGCTAGGCTAAGAATATATTTATAGTCACGTGTAATCACAAACATCACATCTTTAATAGCAGAATTACTAGCTGTCTTCTTCATACCCATATAAGCTCACTTGCATGTAGAAAAGAATAAGGTGTAGATGTATGCATCAAGACAAGACATACCCATATTGCAAAAATAATATCAAATATTGTGAGTTTCAAAATCTAAATGTTTAACTAAGTCAAGATCCAAGCATGCATACTTGCCGAAGCAAAAATAGTATAGTAATATAAACAAGAGTAAAAATGGATTCAGTCGTTATATTGAATAAGTTCATAATTGATGTCAACGAAAACTTATTAGTAGATTTACCACCACTAAATTTTCATATAGAACCAATGCACAATACATTAGATCTTTATAATGAGCCATGTTAAGTAAGATCTTGAGCATTATTCTAGTTGGGTAGCCGCTGTTAATCATAAAACAATGACTTTCTCACATCAAAAGTCACAATGAAGAATATAAACATGAGCTGTAATGAGACATTACAAAAGATGATATATCAAAGTCCACTAGCCATTCCAATTTTCTTAAAAATGAATGTAAACATTTTTCCAGATTAAAGTCTCAAATGTATTTTGCGAGTTGAAAATGCTGCAAACATTATCTCACATGTTCTTTGAACTTGTTTTCAACTATCATTGCAAAATAACTTAATGTAGATGGAATGTTGAAAGAGGGGTAATGCGCTGAAATATTACCTTACGTCCTCTTTTAGAATGACCCGAAACTAGTGTGTAAAAAATTATTGTGAGGAGTGTGAATGATATTGCATGATCACGATATTTCTAATAAGATGCAAATAAGTCCTTCCACATAATAATTTATCTATAAAATCTGCTTAAAGTATAATTCTTAATCTCAAGAAGCCAACTTAACATAATGGCTCTAAAAATCGCAACTAATAAAGTCGATTGGTAGAGTTGTATGAAGCATCATCCACCAAAGGCACATGAGAGAGATATGCCTCTGGGTAACCCTATATCATAAGATGTGAATCTAGTATCTAAAATTTATAAACATGTTCTAATATAACATAAGACGACATCCTAGCCAATTCAAACCTAAATGCTATCGTGACAACATACATTTCAAATACTTCACCTCAAATCTCTATTACATGCAAATCGAAGGTATAATTTGAATATGAAATGGATTCGAGTTCCCTCTCTTCCATGGCATACAGGTGACCTCGAGGCGGGACTTGGCAATGAAGTGGTAACGTTCACAACTTCAAACTTCACACCCTTTCATATTCGAGCGTTCAGGATTACGGTTGCACAGTCCAGACTCCGGGCCTCCACCATCACACGAGACCCGGAGACGAAGAGAAAATGGAAGTGCCGAGTGGTCGCGTCGTGTTGGCATCAGCGGAACGCGGCAACTACCAACGATCTTAACGGTTTCTCATGGACGAATGGGCATCTCCCCAGATCGAACCACGTAGAGTCAGCGCAGTTCCGGCGAACTTCGGAAGATCGGCCGGCATATGTTGAGAATCGTCGACATGAACTTGGAGAGGGGTCTTTAAACCGGCAGGCTTTTCGTGATTTCGAGTGTAAGATAGAAGAAACCGGCGAATCTTACGGTGGGTTTTTATACCGTACAGTGAAAACACCGGCGAACGTGAAAAATTTGCCCACGGCGCGTTTAAATTTACTTCAGACGATGTCGACCGCGGTCCGCTGCGCACGTGCCGACACACGAGCCCAGTCGAGAGTCGAGACCAGAAGTGACGCTGGCGCAGTTGGCTGCTGGCCAGTCGGACGCTCTGACACTCCTCCCCTCGTTTCTCGTCTCGAATCTCAAGCTCCGCCGTGGCGAACATCGTCCCGGATCTCACCTCTTCGTTCCGCCCCATCTCCTCCCTGCACATGGACTGCAGCATCAGTCGCTCCCCCGCCATCTCCTGCAATACCAGTCTTCTCCCTGTCGGATGTCGATGGTTTATCGATCTCTTCTCTAGTGATGGGTTCTGAGTCGAGGGACTGAGAAATTTTGACATCTCCGACTTGACTATTTTCTTCTTCTCAAATTTATTTGTTGGTGCCTTCTTGATCCGCCAAGATTTCATTTGAGCGCTTGCCTTTCTGCTTACGTTTTTTGAGCAGCGATAGAGCAGTATTGGGATGACGGCCGGTTTAGTCGTCCGCTTGTTTTGAATCTGGAATTTCTTGCGAGGATTGAGGATGGTTGGGTTGAGCCTCGTCTATCAGGCGAGCGGAGGGAATAAGAGAACAGAAGAGATTTGAACCGCGTTGGTCTCCAATAGGCTGAGGCTTGGGGGTTTTAGGCGCGATAAGTGCTGCATTGTGCATTGTGCATTTTTCGGCCTCTTGGGTTGCTTTGCTGATTTGCGTCGACGAATGCTGACATCTTGAAATTCAACCGACGACGGAAACGAAAAGTTGTGAATGAAAGCTGTGCTGTTTATTTCTAAGGCTTGGGTTTCTGGGCAAGACGTGGAATAGTTTTGCGTCTAACAAGAGACTGGAAAGTTTTCGTTCCTTGCCTTAGTTTTTTGTTCACCAGCGTACTCCTTCGTCGTTTACATCCAGTCAAAATGGAGGCCAAGCGGCTCATAATCGTGAAGGAAAGAATGGTAGACTTGGAGTTCAAGATCTCTCGCCTAGGTCTGCTTCTCTAGCCCCACGGTTTTCTAATTTTTACTTGTTCGTAATTTCTACTGAAAATATAGGGAATGGTGGCTGTACGATGATTATTTTCGCAATCGTGTGGTTTGCTGCAAATCGATTAGGGTTATAGACTGTATACGCTGGAAGTCATAAACATCATTGTAGAGAACGTGCAGTGTAGAACGAAATTGGTACTAGCCAAGGAGGTCCTCTCTTTGTCTGGAACACTCTTTGCTCTAGATGAGTATTATTGATTGTATTGCGGATACAAAGATATCCTTGCCCAGTCAATACGAGCTACAGAGGATGATAAGGGAGTATCGGAACTCTGATACAGCAAATGCTGTGAATGGAGTGGTCTTCAACGAAAACATCAAACTCCACCAAAGAGTGTCCTTGACAAAGAAAGAACCTCCTTGGCTAGCGATAGACATGCATCGGACCTCCTAGCCTATCGCTAAGACCTAAATGATGAATGACACAAATGAAGAACTTTTCGTAGAGCCAGACATAGTTTCTTTGAACTATTTGAGCTCTGAGGATTGCTCGCAAGGAGCCTTATACATGCTATGTGAAGCAGTACTTTTATTCGGCAGGTTAGAGCTTGTGAAAAGGACCTATCTATAACTTCGCCACTGTTTCTAGCTTCTCAGTTACATTTGAGTTTCAGTACTGAGAATTACGGCTATCATTACTTTATATTATTGGTGTACGACACTGTTAATCTGTCTGCGACATTTCACTTTAACCCTCAAATTCAGTACAAAACCAGTCTACAAATCTTGATCTATATTTTTACTAAAAGGCGGAGGTTTGGTGTTCAGGGATACTGGGAAAAGCCTACTATGAGCTGGCACAAATAAAGCTAAAAAGGCATCGAAATCAGATAAGAGTGGCAAGAACCCAGAATATGCTCTTACATGCTGCACTGAACGTACTTCGAGAAAAAGCAAGGGTTGCTCGTAAGAATGCAGGTGACCTTGAGGCTCTGAGAAAATCGACTGTTAGTCTTCGTGTGACACTGAATCACCAAAGAGAGCTCGTTATAGCGAAGCAACATGAGGTACTATCGATTCCCCGGAAGCTTTACAAATGTGTTCGAAATATAGTTTTTGGAGCGATGTAAAGCGTGATGACGTACTTTCTTCACCAGAAAGCAATCAATTCTTTAGCCGACGTCCACATAACGTAATGCACGTGAAAGATAATCTTGACTTTGGCCAGAAAAATCCCAATAGCAAATACAAAGATAAGAAGAGAGAGAGAGACAGACAGACAGTAGACGAGTGCTGTGAACTTACACGCTCGGGTCCAACATCGTATTGCTCTGAGTGTTTTAAAAACCTTTATTAAGTGGCGTAACACTAAGTGATTTCTCTGTGGCTCACGATGTTTAATCTGTGACCGGAACAGTTGGAGAGGCAAGTTACTGATACACATTCAGCAGAGCTGGAAACAGCCGGATTCCTCGACCCCAACACCCCTCCGCTAATAAAGATTCGTAACCTGGAACACAGACTCAATATTGTCATGATAAAGACAAGAGATGTGCAGACGCTTATGAAGCATTATGAGGATACAGTGAAGCCCATGAGAGATGAACACAATTCTTATGCGGCTCAGGTATGTGCACATACGCTATGGTCGAAATTCAGCTCCCTCAGGGCATGCTTCCATACTCGTAGATTGAATAATTTTCCAGATTTACGCTGAATAAAAAAGTAAAAATCTCAAGCGAAGTCGCTTTCTATCCAAAAATTTCTTACTAGTTATAAAATTTATCTATCAATCGATCGGTGATTCAGCTGGAAGCCGTTCAAAGTATCGTATTTATGAAGAACGCGGAAACTGAGAAGCTTATACTCTCTCACCACGACGCCATCCGTGCTCGAGATGCTGCGAAAGTTGAGCTGGAAGAAGTAGGTGAGATACTGCCACAATTGAATCTTTCTTTCCTTGTGTTTTTCGTCTTAAAACTGTGCCCGAAAAACTGAAGCTGCTGTGCCTTGAATCTCATGACATTGAGAATATACAACATGCATCCAGTACAGATATCTCATATCGTGGATTGTGTTGGTTGTCTGTGGTTGGCAGCTTATGAATGCATTATTTGGTACTAGCCGGAAGGTACTTATGACCTCTCATATGCGCAACCGAGCTGCTCTGAATACAACTCTGGCCTCGTTTAGTACTATTAGTGAGAGAACGAATGAGTAACTTTCTCGTCTTATCAAATTTAAGCATAAGCACACGTGGAGCGAGTCATATACAGTTGTGAAATTCGATTCTCGCTTGTATCGTAAATTGAAAGAACAAGACCGGAAGAGTCTAATGTAGACGAAAAAGCTGGCTCACAGTGACCAATTCGCTTGTGTGTGTCCTGTATTCTCTATCTCCTGATTCGGTGAGTGAATTAGAGAGTAGACCAGAGAGAGATTTAGGCCGAAATCAGAACTGCTAGTTAACAACAAATCATGACCTGGTTACCTTGCTGTTCTCACCATCTTTCCCTGAACCGTGCGTGGGTGGTAAATCCCAGAAATTGGTCTCACCGGAGTTGGAGAAAAAAATACTCAAGGCAATCAAGGAAATTAAAGAAGTTATGGACGTCGACTCCATGCGACAAATGTACCATCAGTTTATCTTACAAGAGAAACAAACAGCGTATTTGGATCAGATTTACGTGGAGTTGAAAAGAACCGTCGATCAACTGAAGAATGAGTACCCGGCTAGGGTACGCTTTCTATGCTTCTTTGTCATCACTGCTGGCTCAGTAATTTGTAACTGCCATGTGTGTCAAACGAGGGTCGTTTCTGCGAATCTCCCTGAAGAATTCCACTCGCGGAGCAAAAAGTCGCAGACTCGAGTAAATAATTACACCGAAGTAAAAGATTAGAGTAATGAGTAGACTCACGCATGTTCAAAGAGCGGATACGCTGCGTTTCGAAATCATCTATGCTTACATCAATATATCAATAGGCTGTTGATATATTGATGTAAGTGCTCACGATATCAGAGGAGGAGCTCTATGGCCAAACCGGAGCTACATGGATTGGTTGGAGAAACGAGGCAGATCGTGAGAAGGCAGTCAGAACGGAACTTGAGTATGCGGAGAGGCTCGGTTCCACTTTTTCAAATTCTGGAGGGAGCTCAAAAGCTGGTGGACAAATTACACGATGGAAACATGACCTTGGTACGATAAGTGACTCGTATTTTGTGACCTTGAATCCAAACTTACTGATAGGTTCTACCTAGGCTCTGATTACTCGTGGGAAAGCCTCTCCAGCTGATAGACGGACTTGTGAAGTGCAGACGGATGATGAATCTCCAGAAAGAAACATTTTGTTCGGGTGCGAAGAACGTCTAACCAAGATACTTAAGGTGCGCACCTCAACTCACTTGTGTCTACTCCTCCCTTCAAAAAGCTGACGATCAATCTTTCGTAGTGACTGGCTAATCCTGTTTCATACTCTGGCTTGATAACGATGTCCCTAAATTCTTAACAACGTTACGATGATACAATGCTGTCAGATCGCTCTGCATAGGGTTGCAGATAAATCAGAACAGGAAGACAGAATCTTGTTTGAAGAATAAAAAGTATACCACACACTGCATGATAGACTTTTTATTCTTTATCAAGATTGAGTTCAAATGGAAACCAGGTGGACAATACTCTACCTTCAACAAATCAGATCCTTCCGACTTCTCACTTAAATTTCGATAGAGAACTTACTGTTGTATGCCAAGGTGCATCTAACCACCACTACATCAAACCATTCAAGCATCTAGCTTTGATATTCACCCTCTCCCAGAGCTGAATAACAAAATGGGCCTCTCGGTGGGCATAATGCCATAGGTAAACTGATTACCTTCTCTACCAACTGCTCGAATCTCACTAAGAAATGAGATGTACTCTCCCAGGCTTTGCATCGTAAGATGAAGCATCTTCAGAAGGAAGCTGAAAGAAAGGCAGCGCATGATGCCATTGGGGCTGAGCGTCATGAAGCTCAGGATTGAAACTCCAAGAGAGCGCTGCTAACCTACTTCCATGCCTACTCCTTCAAGACTAACTTTACCATCACCAACACGTCTACCAGGGTTTGCTTCGTAAGATGAAACATCTACAAAAGGAGGCTGACAAAAAGGCTGAATATGATGCCAAGGCGGCTGAGCGGAAAAAAACGATCGACAGTTTTATGGCAGTTTTTGACGAGAACTTGAAACCAAAAGCCCCGTCACCTTCTTCCTCGTGATTCACGGAGACCATACAGACCGCCGACAACAAATCTAGTCATCTCCACCTGAGCATCTAAACATCGACAGAGAACTTCAGGTCTGGTTCTCAGCAGGATCAGTGAAAGGCTTACGCCCGCGAAGATGCAAAGATGCAGGATTTTTTGCAGAGTTGAGAACAATTTGTGACCCTGGAGAGATGGAACAACGGTGTACTTGAATATTCGGATCGGATAGTTAGGGTGAGTTTGATTGACTTCACAATTTTCTGTTACTTTAGTCCTTTCCAGGACTTGATGGTTGCGTGTTACCTTACCTGTTCATGACATCAATTTTTAAGCTCGGTGTACCTAGACTTCCCTTGTACAGAACCTACGTTACAGACTTCAGTGTCCACATGACAGCAGAGAGCTGTTGAGACTCCCTTGACTAGTATGATTGGGACAACTTATGCTAAACCCTGCTTAATCGAAGTATAGCTGAGTTGGAAGAAAGCTTCTACATAAACACAGGCTTTGCTTCCAGATATACACTGAAGCCTTCCTAGAATTCCATGCGTTGCACTTTTTCGATTCAAGCACAGGAGATGGCTTGTTCCTCCCGTATGGTCCTTTGCCTGATGCCCAACCTGACCGGTTGGTGTGTAAAGAAGACAGTTTTCTTTGAGCCATATGCCTACAGACTAAATTTCGATATCTTCGACGGGCTGAGTATTACCAAGTCGTTTTCCTCTATGTTATGCAATTGCCTCTACTAAGTTCACACACTAGTCTTCAGTCTCTGGTATAAACTGCTGAATATAGTCACTTAGGGACAGTAGGCGCAGCGAACATCGCGATGACAAGATCGATGAAGTTTGAACTGCTTGCTGCCACTAAGCGAGAATTGCCATGATACATTTTTGTGATCCTAAGACACATGCTTCCTACATACTTCATTCCAGGACCCCACGCAGGTAGTGAAGACACTACCTGCGTGAAGAGCACGTAACATGGTATCATGATGCCCGCGTATCTTATTCTCAGCAACTCGGTAGAGCCCTGTTGCTTACGGTTCACACACGTAGTCTGACTCAACCTAACTGAGGCAGAAGTTGCAAAGTATTTCCTGAATTTCCTCGTTATATAATGAATGACGCTCTCTTCATTTAGATTGACAGACCGCAGACTATATTTTTATTTTCATCGTAAACTTGCCAAATCGAGCTTTTGGGCTCTTGATGAGAGGCACGGTACCTAGATGACGCTAAACCTTGTAGGATGGGGTCACACTCTCGTTCGCAAGGTGTCTACAACCTTGCGTGCATATTCTTTACTGCCACATGTATTGTACATGTGTATTAGGGACTTCCAAGCGTAAGAGTCCAGTCCACCACCCCTTTCGATCATCTGAGCATGAACCTTTTTGCCCTCTTCCAATGCCCCTAAACGTGCACAGACGTTTAAAATAGTAACAAACGTGAATTTGTCTGGGATCATATGTTCCTGCTGCATCTGTTTATAGAGCTGCAATGCCTCTTCACCACGCCTCATCTTAGCATATCCAGAAATCATTGTGTTCCAACTAACTACGTCCTTAGGATGCATCTCGTCAAATACTAGACGGGCATCTTCCAAGCTCCCACACTTGGAGTACATGTTTATGAGAGCATTCCAGACGTAGATATTAAGGGAATAAGAGGATTGCATCATCTGCTCGTGGATTTTTCTGCCCGCTTCCACAGCTCCAACTCCGAGATAAGCACAGGCGTTCAAAACACTCACATACGTGATCCTGTCGGGCTCAACTCTCTGCTGAATCATCTCGTCGAATAAGCCTAATGCCGTCTCGCTATCTCCACTCTTCACGTAGGCTGCGATCAGCGCAGTCCAAGACACCACATCTCGCTGGCACATTCGGTCGAAAACTTCGCGGGCACTCTCTATGCTCCCACACTTGATGTACATGTCGACTAGGGCATTCCAGACGAAAAGGTTTATCTTGACTCCGCTCTTAATTATCTCGTTGTGGACTGCCCTCCCTCGTTCCAAGTCTCCTACAGCACCACAGGCGCCGAGAATACTCACAAAGGTGAACTTGTCTGGTTTCACGCCTTGCCTTTGCATTTCCTTCAGTAATTCAAATGCCTTCTCTCCGTGTCCAGCTCTAGAATACCCTGCAATCGCTGTGCTCCAGGAGAACAAGCAGGGTGTTGGGAGTCTTATCATTTTGACCTGTGCAGTGATCTTTCGATCATCTTTGTGGCCTGTGGATTCTCGCCTGCGCTCCCTGGCATAAGAGCTCCAGATATCTTTCCAATCGATATGTTTTCCAGGATCTCCGAGATCAACTCCATAATGATAGTCGAGCAGTAATGTCAATCCACTGCGAGGCTGGGACTGGTGTTGAGACAGTGCGGTCAACTTCGTCTCTACCCACTGAAAATCGTGCCCAGTGTCTAGCCATAGTGCCTCGTTTCTGTACTTGTGTTTGAAATCTGGATAACCCTTGTCCCTCTGTCCATCATCAACACGAGTTCAGCAAGAAACTTCCAGAGGATTTGGCAAGAAAACAATCCTCAATCGAAGGCGACCCAAGCTACATTACATTTGTAACGCGAGGTACTCTCAAGCAAAAAAAATAAGCGGATCCCACGAATTCACTCAGAAAGACTCCACACTGAGATTACAGTGCACGAAAAGCCACACCTTACCGAGCCTGTTGTCCCACCACTCGGAGGGATCGAGGAAAAACTGCTGCCAAAGCTGTTCTACTGCATTATCCGCTCCGCCTGCGCAATGCCAAAAGTGTTTCATTTAACAGAATTCGGAACGAAGACTCACTTCAATTGATTCCCTTCATCAAATCCGCTCGTGATCGGCAAGTATCCACAGTGCATTGATGTTTAGAAGACAGTGAGCTAAAGGATCAGCAAGGTCTTGGATCGGTCGTCTACCATCCTTTGCCGAGGTACTCAGGGCCTTGATGTGGAGGCGTAGGTGGTGGCCCCACGAGTCCCCCAGGCTCTTCCTGAAGACATTCATATCGCGCAGCTCCAATTCGCCTAATCCCAGATGCTACATGACTGCGGGAGTGCAACAGCGCCTTTGGGATCCTCGGTCCCAAACTCGTGCATCCAAGGTTTCAGCAGAAATCTCCTTCGAACTTTAAGGGGCTTTTTGAGATTCTCGTACATACGGAAATCGGAAAGGAAATCAGATTGAGGACCCCTGGCCTAACTAAACCTCGAAGCTCCTGCCAAATCACTCGTCGACGTGGATATCACCAGAACTCTGGCACCTCTTGGAGATTCTGTGACTACTGAACATCATCTCGTCGACTGCACTTCACCAGCTTAGCGGAAACACGACCTTCCATGCGTCGCTGATTCCAGATCTTCTTTCAACAGAAGGAAATATACGTCACTTTCACTGAAGCAAAAACCCTAAACCCACCAACATCCAGAGTCCACATCAATTTACCTCCTTCCACGGTATTCGTCAATCAGTTCATGTGGGTATAAGAAAGCGATGCAGGCAGAAGCTAAGAAGCCGAATACCAGAAAATGAACCCGACAAAAACATTGTGACGAAACAGAAAAAGAAAACAAAAAGCTCAATCAAAGAAGGAGACGAAATGGAAAGTACAACTCAAACCAATGAGCACAATTAGATGAAAAATACAACTGAATGTATTTTCTTCTCATAACCTCTGATCTTCAGCAATGTGGAAATGTAATTAGTTTGATGCAGTAATATTGCTATGTGACCAGAGGAATTCTTGTTAAATGGAGTATATTGTGTTTCACACCAGTTGTATTTGTATTGCACGCACACGAAAGTTGCAATTACCTCTGACTTGATTATTAACACCTCAATGAAAGTGTAGAAAAGATCAGATATATTTAACTGTTTCAGTTATAGATTATGACATATTTGAGCTGGTAGACAAACCTTCTTCCTATGTGTTTAGTTACAAACATACGATCAAATTGCAAAATTCTTTACATCGTTATAATTTGGATGTTGACAAATATTTCTATGTAGTAAAAGTACTTGTATTTCTATGTTATAGTCTATGTTGACATATTGTTCATGGCAGTGTGAACTTGTTGTTCTTTGTGGTTGAGTACATAGCGAGAGAACTCACATTGTTGAGTTACTTATCTTTCCATAAATAGAAAAGAGGACCGGGCTTGTATGAGCTTCTCGTTTGAAGCGGTTGGTGGAAGCCCACGCTTTTGATGAGAGAGATTGAGTTGAGACTTAATCTTGAATCACCAACATAATTACATAGTTTAAAGGCATCATGACGTCAAATGTTGGATTAAGCTATGTACTTGAACTATTTGATATAGTCTGTGAGCATTAGATTGATTAAATATAGATGCAGGTGATCTACATGGGTGATTACAATATCAGTTGTTTATTTTTTGCCGACTAAGATAATGCAATCAAAGCTAAAGGAAAAAGTGATAAAAATCTCATACATATAAGGACTTCCTAAATAAAAGATAAATCATTCCTCAAGCAAAATTTTTGCGTGAAAGATGCAATGATCACCAATATAGATGAGCATGAAACAACAGAAGAGAATTCAACTAAAGCAGTTGGAATTGATTACGCTAAGCTTGAGGTGTCTGATATGATAGGGAAAATAAACTTCATGTAGCAATCATGTGTCAATGAAGAGAAAGAGATTTGGGAGATAAAAATTGATCTCAAAGAGATAGAAGATTAAAGTTTTAGGATATAGAGTTTTGTGATAAGTTTGACAAGTTGTTTTTACCTTAAATGGTTTGAAAGTACTTTTATATGGATTGACTTGAAATTAATGCATCAAACTTCCGTCATCATATACACAATGAAATATGGACCAGCTAATGTCTGCATTCTGTATGGATCTAGACTCTAGATTCTAGAGTCAATCTGAATACGTGTTGCTTCAAAAGTATTGCCACATTTACATGTATAACGATGTTTATGTAGTTCACAAGCTAAAACATGTATCTCATTAATATAGAAACAACATATGATGTGAATAATATATCATTCTTGTAATATATATTTAAAATGATGTTTGTTGGGTTAAGAAAAATCTATAATTGATATGGGACGAACATTGTATAGTTTTGGCGGTTAAAGATGACACAAAGTTTAAGAGAGTATAGTTATTCATCTTCTTTGATGTGCGGAGAATATAACATTATTAACCAACCTCTGCAAGTATAGAAATATTCAAAAATAGTATGTTTCGATTTCTAGCATTAGAGTTACATTTAGCTGTAGACACGGACTGTGACATGTTTGTGAGAGCGAGCAAGAGTCCAGTGACCTAACGTTATTATTATCATTTTATCTTATATTTTTTACGACTTTTCTATTCATTATGTTTCAATCATTATTAGTACTTATTGATATTATTTTATTTTATATATTATATCACTTTTGTAGTCAACATGTTATTATTACTATGACCAGTTAGACATATCATACATAAGGCAGCAACCATATGAGGTGACGCAGCCTTTTGTGCCTCATGTAATCTTTAGAAAGATATTTCAACCTTTGGCGTTGTAAGATATATTGAAATTTTAGATAATTTGGGCCTAATCCAGCTTAATCATCAGATTTTATATCTACATACTTCCATCTACCTCGTTCCCTAGGTGGTGGATAAGAGTGAAAGTTCTTTTTTGAGCTTCATGGGGATCAACCGCCAACGCCGAGCCAACAAAGATGACACTTTTCTATTTAGCACAATGTAATCACAGGTGCTGACATGGCTGATCGACTACCGCCAGCACGATGTGGGATGGTGAGCGGACCTACTCCACTTTCCAGCACTGCCAAACGGAACCTGCGAAAGGACTGTACTAAGAAACCGCAGAAAACCGGACCCACCCCGGTTTCGAGTTCTTGCGACCGGAAATTGCGAAAGGACGACATGAAGGAGGCGCGGAAAACCGGAGCTGGTGAACGGAAAGAGACTCTTTGTTCCATCTAGACAAGCGAATCCGCTGACATGGCGCCAAGACTTACAAAATCGTCCGTCCACGAGACTCATCGGGGTCCAGTTGTGCTCCCCCGAAGCACCGTCCCGAACGTCGACCGAGCGAGAGCGAGATTAGCCGAGGGCGGTTCGGGCGGCCGACGTGGCCCGCGGCGGGGGTGGAAGCGGGTCGCCGAGGCGCGGAGTCGGTCAGGTGCAGAGAGCGTGGTGGGCCCGGGCGCGGCCCAAAGAAAGGCTGCCGAGAGAAGAGACTAGAAGCGAGAGGAGCAGGAAGACACGGAGAAAGCGAGAGAGGACGAGAGTGGATATGGAGGCCGAGATGCGTTCCTTCGACAGCTTATAAGAATGAGCATCGATTCGGTGGAGGGTGCTGCTGCTGCTGCTGCCGCACGACTCGATAGGATTGGAGCTGGCGCCGTGGGTGGTTCGACTCCCTCCCGTGCTCTGCAGGAGTTGAGGCGTTTTTCACTGGGGATTGTGGATTAGCTTCTTTCAGAGGAGCAGGAGCAGGATTAGAATAGCAAGGAATAATAAAGTATTGGCGAAGTGAGAAATAGTCGAGAGTCAGCTTCTTTGAGAGGAGGAGGTGTAGGAGCAGGAGGAGGATTCGAAGGACCAGGAATCATACAGCGTAGTGGAATTGAGGAGTAGTCGAGCGAGCGTAGCTCTGCTTTGGTGGAGGCTGCGAATTTGGACGAAATGGCGATGAGGGATTTGGTCATGGGAGGTGGTGCCTGTGTGGTGCCGGGCGGCGACGGAGCTTCTTCCTCGTCGAATCCTCTCGGTGGTCTCGCTGACTCCCTGCTCGGCGGTGCATCTAAGACTCAGGTGCGTCTGGAGGGATGCTGCGCTTCGGAACGGCACGATAAGTGCTGGGAATTCTGCATTGACGGATTGCCCTGCCTGTCGGTGGCCTAGATGTTTTCTATGGTGGTCCAAGGTTGAAGCAAGCGACGGTCGATCAATTTTGAAAGTACTCCTTAGTTTAGCTCAATCAGGAGCGTGGCGATGCTGGAGTGATCGATGAATTATTGTTTTGAGCCACTGGACTGTATTAGGGTAGTCCTTTAGGAGAAAATGCGTGTCGGTTATCTGGCCACTTCCGGGAAATTGTCGCTCGTTCAAATGTTTACTTCGAACCGTTCATTTTTGTTGATATCTGCATTCGATTTCTTTGGTTCGTCATGTTTTACATGTTGCAGCAATTCATAGCAGTCTTCTTGTGAATGCATTATGCAGGAACGGATTCGTGAGCTTCCCGGATTGGCAGGACCAGGGCAGTCAGCAGATCTCGGAGGGAGACCTCTAACTTATCTTCCAGGATCCGAATTTGAGAATGAGTTCGACCAGCGGGCTTCTGCGCAAGTATGTCATCGATATTTTTCCTCCATCGCCTAATGTATTCACGTAAAGAATCAGTACTAGATTCGCCGTATTCTTTGTAAGAGCGCAACCCCGAAACTTGTTGGGAAGAATGGAATCTGTGAAAGTATTTATGAGACAGCTGCTGAAACCACCTGCAATTTGGAGCCTGGAGCTCTATTACTCCTGTTGCGGGATCACTTACATAACGTCAGTGAATCTGTGACTTCGAAATTCAATGACATTCGAGGGTTACTGAAGTTGATTACAGAGCACAGCTCCCTTGGGAAACTCAGCTCAGCTTTAGTTGGAGCTCTGGAGGGAAGGGATAGCGAATTCGTTAATGAGTTCAGCTTTGAGGTCTAGTTACAAAATTGGTCTCTGCTTTGGATGGAAGAACCATGAGGTTCTATGAGGAGCCCTGGAATAGAGTCACTAAGCGTAACGAATAATTCGCTCATTCTACGACTGCTTTCCGTTTTGAAATATCTATTATTTGAACTTTCGTTAGGTCGTATCGACCCGTGGTTATAATGTAAGAATTATGTTCAAATTTCGTGAGGGAACCCTTGCCTCATACGACTTAGATAATAGCCTAGACGCAGTTGCGTTTTTTTGATCATGAAAGTTGATGAATACGGATTTTATTTGCGCAGAATTCACAGTTTCTACAAAGATTTGGTAGCAAGTTTTCGGATGCTTGGGGTGACGCAGTTAATGGACATATGATGCCTCCGGTTGCTCATCATGATCGCGAGCAAGAAGCAGCTTTCAGAAATTTCGAGGCCCTTTACCCAGGAATGGATTCTGCGGGTCGACCACCTCTAGCTTTGGATGGTCAGTCTTCTCACTGTTTGAAGCATTGATTGTTTGTGTGTGAAAGTAGTGGGTAAAGTTTTCCCACTTTTCTTTGGGGATGAAGGGTACTGAGATCGCACTATTTTCGGCTGTGTATGAGTTGGTAAACGTGGATGAGTGGACGTTTGTTCGGTGCGGCTCAAGTTCTAGAGCTGATAGTTTGCGGTAGTATAGAACTCTGTAATGATCGTGCATGGAATTCGTGATGAACATGTGTCGGTTTTTACCTTCATTTAACTCCTTTGTCCTTATTTCTTGGAAGCTGAAGTTGCAAGCTTTAGTTATACGATGCGAAGCATCCGAATTTAAGCGGAGCTAATGCTTCTCTTTCTATGTTTGCAGCACCTCCACAGAGGGTTTTATCAGGATTTTTCCAGTCGTTCCTGGACAGTAGTCGTATGGATGGTCCATTCAATGCAGTTCGCCTTCCTGAGCTTGGCTTATCAGAAGCTGACAAGAGACGTATACGCGATCGAAGCAGTATCATGGGTCGACATTTTTTTGCCGACAAGGGGGATGAATATGTTAATGCCCGAGTATGTACGAAGCACGAATAAGTTGTGCATTGAAATAATAGTTTATATTTCGAGGAATTTTATTTTCAGTTCTGATTTTGAGTCATCCCATTCTTTGTTTCGGTTTCTGATCTTGATATCCTCTCCAAACTGTTGTCAACATTCCATATAAAGCGCTTGGAAAACCTGGATATAGGAAGAAACGGAGGTCATGAAGAGACCGTAGTAGAACTTTATGATTGCGAAGGTTAGAATGCACATGAATACAACCTGTAATGGAAGTAGTCCTGGTATTACACACGGAAGTGAATACTACGTATTATCGTTTTAAGAGTTGAAGGAAGATGATTGATTGTTGAACTTCAAGTTGTGTTTTATGATTCAGGTCAATGCACTTTTACAATCTCTGGATATCGACAACAACCTCAAGTTTCGTGAGCCAATGGGTGGTCGACATCCAGAAATGGAAGGTTACTGGAATGAAGTTATCGGAGCTAGACCCGGAGGTCGGCCATTGCCGGATCAATGGGCGGAGGATTTCCACCAACACCACAGGATTCCTGAGCCTGGGGGGTGGGCACAAGAGTTTGAGGCTCAGCACAATGGTGAATCGTGGGGGGATCAATTTGGCGAGGTCTGAGCCTGCAGTGAAACTGAGAAGCCCTTGGCATGTCCCTTGCCATGTATGCTTTATTTGAGTATTTTTTGTTTCACATAGACGGATTAGAAACTCCTTAGGTTATTTTCTTATTGTTTGGTTCGGCAAACTCTGAGATTGTCCGATAGCTGTATTGTGAACGCAGCATCAGCAACAAATGGCCGCGAGAGGTCAATTCAGGAATGGTGAGATGAACAATATGGCAGCTCTGGAGCAGACACGATCACTTGTGAACACTCTGGCGCAGAATCAGGACCCAAAGTTCCAGGTTTGGAGTTCTCTCTCCTCCCCGTCTACATGTTTTTAAGCTCTCAAGGTTGTCAGTGGCCTTTGTTTGTCTGTCCTACTCACTAATATATCATCTATTGTCCATGTTCATCTTCCGTTCAGTTTCTATCCATCTGGTCTCCTGTATCTGAATGTCAGAACACTATTGGTGGTCTGCTTTTTTTCCTTATGCTTCTCTCTTCAATTTTTTGTCTTCTGTTGTTTCTGCTGTAAAATTAAGAGCACGCTTTCTCACAAATTTTAAAATGGGATTATAAGAAGTGCCGAGTTTGCTTCAAATGTCTCCTCAACTGGCCTTACTCTTTCACCTCTCCTTTCTTATATTCTGTAGAATTCCAAGTTTCTTCAGTTCGTTTCTAAAATGAGCCGAGGAGAACTTATTGTCGAGGACAATCAAGTCAAGCCTGGAGTAACAAATGACTGGGCCAATGAATTTCAGCAGCAGCATTTGCCACCGGGCGATCAATGGGCATCTGAATTTATGGGAGAGGTATGTGGTGTACATGAGCGTCTTCGTAATGTTCTTACATGAGCTAGAATTTACGATCTTCGAAGACCTCTTTCACATCTCAATTGTACCATCGTGGTTACTCTGCTGCAGCATCAACATCGAGGCGATAGATGGGGCGACGAGTTTGCTCGCAGACACCAAGAAGCTCCTTCGACAAGTGATGATTGGGTGAATGACTTCTCACGGCTTCACGTTCAAGACTGGGCAGACGAGTATGCCGAACAAGTGGCCAAAAATCCATATGGAGATGGTTCTCATGAGAGTTGGTTAGATTCATACGACAAGTAAGAACTCCTGGGCTCGTAGTCTACATTTGTTCCCGGTTATGAGAAAAATAGGTACCGAGGAAGAAGGAAGTGGGACTGTAATATTGTCTCGAAACTACTCATTGTCGAACTTGTCCGAAGACTTTTACTAGCTTTACACAAATGCCTTAAATTGTTGCCTAATCGATGAAGTACCTCAATTAGCTATGTGGCAATAATTGCAGCTGATGCATTTATTGATAGGTTGTAAGATACCGAGAGTGATCAACATACGATTCATTTTTCGTTGTAGTGGAGTTTATCCTGTTTGTGCTGTAGCGTTATTCGTTCACCAAGTCGTAATTTGACGTGCGCTTGCTATGCACTATCCAGATTTGTTGGGGAGCAGATGACCGATTTGCCAAACAGAACAGCCTCTTCGAAGTTCGTGTATGTGTTTGCTGATCAAAATCCGTACGTTGGGCATCCAAACCCTCTGAAAGAAGGTCAAGAGCTTTTCCGCCGAGGTTTGTTAAGTGAGGCAGTTTTAGCTTTGGAAGCTGAACTTTTGAAAAACCCTGAGAATTCTGAAGGCTGGAGACTTCTGGGCATCACACATGCAGAGAACGATGATGATAAACAGGTACGAGAACTGTCATACTGGATCAGTATACACCCTGTCCTGATTTCGTAGATTAATGTGGAGCGTAATTGTTGGGAAAACCTTGCATACACATCAACAAGCTCCGTCAAAACTCCGAGAGTTTTTATATCCCGGGGAATTCACCACAAAATCGATTTCGGTGTCTTTGCTGTTGATTTCTATTTACTTATTCGGATTATGTCCATCCTGAAGGCTATTGCTTCAATGGTGCGAGCAAGAGATGCCGACCCGACTAATCTGGAAGTACTTCTAGCTCTTGGGGTTGGTCACACGAACGGTATGTATCCAATCATGACGTTACTTTGTTATGTAGGAATGTCGATCGGATGAAACACACCTTGATACTTAGACCAATTCTACTAGTAAGAACTGCAGCTATACCGCAGGAATAACTCAAAACCGAAACCATTGACCTTGGTCTTCGTTCTAAATTATGTCCTGAGTCCTTTATCTCGTTCCCATGAAGCTAAATTCATAGTAGGGGTCAGGGTCTTCCCTGGTTGTGCAGTCCAGATCTTTGTTAACCTCAAACTTTTCATCATAAATGCAAGACTCCCTGGTATTGCCTTTGTATGGTTGCCATCTGAAGGACCCTGATACCGTGGCTATTTGGTTATAGAGCTGGAGCAAGCCGAAGCTTTGAGATATTTGGGAGGTTGGTTACAAAATCATCCCCAATATAGCAAGTTTGTACAACAGGATGTCAACTCTTTAAGCCATTCTCAGGTAACGTCATTCGTTCCTCATCAGGAGCGGCATCTGTAAGGGTATTATCTTGCTATGTTAGGTCTGCGACGAGTGGATAATGTTATGTATTGTGTACTTTACCTCTGTCTTGGATTTCCAAGTTTTCCTTTTGGATTGAGTATTTATTCTCTCGTTTGGAGGTGTCTTGACTGAGATCTCCTTGTCATGAATGTTTTCGCGAAGCAGGTTACGCAAATGGTGAATGAGGCTGCGTTAGTCGCTCCAGGCGATGGTGATGTTCACACAGTTTTGGGAGTTTTGTACAACCTTTCCAGAGAGTATGATAGGGCTATTCAAAGTTTCCAAAGAGCTCTTGAGTTGAAGCCTCGGGATTATTCGCTTTGGAACAAGTTAGGTGCTACTCAAGCCAACAGTGCCCGAAGTGCTGATGCTATTTATGCTTACCAACAGGTACTGTCATTATCGTCCCAAGACGTTTCGAAGAAATGATCAACCTTTTTTTCGCTTTTACCACGAAATGTCAAGATTTCCTTACACGGTCTTTTGAATGCTTAAACTTGAACGAGTTCATGATAATAGAATTGAGTCCTCTGCAATGGAGTAGGAAAGCTTCCCAAGACTGAGTTCGGAATTGTAGCAGTTAAAAGAGTTGTAATTTGCGCAGGCTCTGGACTTGAAACCTAATTATGTGCGAGCATGGTCAAATATGGGCATCGGTTATGCAAACCAGGTGGGTCAACATTATTTATTCCACAGTTAAGGGATTGATGCTGAATTTAACAAGTATCCAGTTACCCATTAATTTATTATTTCTACTGAAAGGAAGTTCGCTGCAGAGAGGATCAATATGTTAATAGGAAGTTCGTTTTTGACCATACATGCCTTCTGTTTGTCAAATTCCTGCTTAAACAGTAGCGGACTAACATGAATGCAAGTAAAGTCCGCCAGCAGCTAGCTCTCTTACTTCGAAGAAGCTGACGACCAGGGTAATTGCACCTCTATACCTCGGAACATGACGCCAACCTTTACCCGACTAAGTTCTATATTTCATCAGATACCTGACTGACAAATGACAGTTCACTTAGGTACAAGTGCTAACAAGTCTAATTGCTCAGAGAAGAAACACCGAACAACAGCGTTTTTGACATGGCGGAAGCAACCTGATTTGGTCATTTGGCAGGGTCGATACGAGGAGTCAATCCGCTACTATGTCCGTGCTCTGGGAATGAATCCAAAAGCAGATAATGTTTGGGATTATCTCAAAATTTCGCTCAGGTATATATTTTTTGGATGGAAACTCAAATTCGGATTCGTTCCTCGTGTTTTTTCTTGTCTATCAAGCGCCATCATCATGCTAACGAATTCAATGTTTGGAACGACAGCAGCTGCGCAGCTCGGTGGGATATGATGGAAGCTTGTGAGCGCAGAGAACTTGAGCCGTTGCAAAAAGAGTACCCCTTGTAAGCTTCGTAGGAGTTTTAATACATATAGCTTCACCGCTACTTGAATTCTTGAATATGGCAGTTGGAGAGGTATGTGAACAATTTCACCAACGTTATTGTTTCTGTTCTCCAACTGCCAGGAAAGAAGTTAGATTAGACATTTGCACAACAGTGAGATGATCTTTGCCATTGATCTGTGTAATCTTGTAAGTTGTGTGGGAAACCCCACTGAAGTGATCAATAGTTTGGAGTGTAGGCACTCCTCAATACTAGCCCATCCTATAGTTTCGTACACGAGATAGTACCTGCTCTGTAAATGCTGAGACTTCAAATCACCCCAGCTGGTTTTACCCGTGACGGTTTCCCGATGGAAATCTTGTATATTGAAAGTTCGAATCATAGGTCGAATGAGGACTATTACGCAGTGCTCTCTGGGTTCAACCGAATTTGCCATTCTTAGTTATCGGCAGAATGTGCTGTGAGTCAATTCAAATCTCACTGCTTCAATTGTTATTGAAGATGTATTTTGCTTCAAGCTTGTACAGAGAGTTGTTGTCTCCTAAGAGTGTCGCCAAATTGTTGTGGCGTGATCAGGAAGTACACATTCTCGTAGGAACCCTATGTCAGATTATTGAATCTATTCTTGTGTTAACGGAGGGAATTATCAAAACCGCCATCGATCATTCTTGAAGTCTATTACTCAATGTCATTCTCAAGTAGAGAGCACGTGTGTTAAGTATATATATTAAAGTTGAATGACTTGTATTCTTTGTCTGCACTTGACATTTTTGGAGAATTATTTTGCCCACGTAATCAGAATCCAGACTTGATCTGAAGTGTCAGATTAAAGAGGACATTGATGACTTTTATGTGGATGTAGAGGACGAACCCCATCTCTAAGGAAGTACGATAGGGAATAATTCAAGGCTGGATCTGAAGCACCAGAGTATGTGTTACATCCTCTGAGATGAAAGGCCATTGTGACTCATGTAAAATTGGAGCAAAGGGTTTCTGATGCTCGAGAATGGCAGTTAAACTATTATTGTGTCAGTTTGACATATCGTCTGCCGTTTTGATTTCTGCATTCGTTCTTGCATAAATGGTCCTTTCTAGTCCTGCCTCAGTCTGTATCAAAGTTTCTGCAGAGAAGATTAAACTGTCGCTTGAATCTCAACTCTCGAGATTCTGCGTAATCAGATTAGTCTGCTATTGCCTTCATTCTACGCCGCGGGCGGGTAGAGTATTTGAACCTATTAGTTGTGAAGGATTGAAGTCAAGAACCCTCACTTGAGTCTTGCATTATCTGTTTATAATGTGAATATCAAGTACGCGATGATACTAAGTATCATCAGTAAATGTCAGAACTGTTGTCGTTAACTTTTGACCCTAAATGACCGGGCATATCAGCAATAATCTCAGCGATATTCCTTGATTCAGAAAAAATGGTTGTGCTTGTTCCCAAAAGTCGTATTTGTTTCTTGTGTATGACGAAGACTTTGTTGGGAAATCGAGAAGCTTCTGACGAAAGTCGCACACTTTTGCACGTGTGTGCAAGCACGTCTTCTTTCTACCAGCATGTATTCACGTTTGACAAAATTCCTCTTTCAAAAACCAATATCTGATATGTTTTGTTCGCAGGTCTTCACATCCTATCACCCGTCAGAGATGCGGTTGTACCTATTGCTCGAGGTTTAAGTCTCTGTAAGGCTGGTCATCTCATCACCCCTTAAGCTTTCATGTGGACGATGATTTCGACTCGGCCTTCCAGGAAAAATTCAAACGAGACGCCTTCCTCAGACGCCCGAGGAGTCCATATTCTTTCAGACAGAAACTAATCACCATGATGTGTTTATATACAATTGATCTTTGTGAATAAAAGTAGAAACTTCTTTTAACTGAATCTCTTTCAGAGGTACCTCAAACCTCCAGGGCTATGTATTTGCAGTGACGTCTAACATTGGAAGCAAAAGTGGAATCGCTAGTTTTGACACTTCTGATACTTTCATTTTCCGTTAGATTGTCTGCCTAGAACACAGGTAAGTACTTTCCATTCGTTTAGTTTCTGTCTGGACTTGATCGAAATCTGCATGAAAATGTAACAACTTCTACGTAATACAAACATCGATCCTGCTACTAGTAACTAATACGCCAGCATTCCGTTGATGTAAACAATTCAAGTACCTCTCCCATGGCACAGCTTACCTGCTTGTGTAGGGGGCCTGGCCTATGTTAGCTGAAAGGATAAGGTTTCATAGTTCCTACTTGCAGAATACGACAGTGGTGAGGAACTCTTCGAACGAAGTCCATCGTTCAAAGCGTACTTGGACCAGCAGTACCTCAGACAGTAGGTCCGGCTATTAACCAACACCAAGCGTATTTTCTTGTGATCAAAAGCATGTAAACTAGTTTTGTCTTTGAGAGGCGACAGAATCTGAAATCAGTTACTTCCAGTTGTCTGGATGACCACGGGTGATATATATATCACACTCGTGCACTCCTCCATCACGAAAACAATGCTTACGCGACCATGTCCGTGTTTTCTTCCAAATTTTTCTTGGACTAAACGATATTATCTGCCAAGATCAGACCAGGATTGGAGCCGAAGACAACAGAATGAAGAAAACGTGAGCTGATGCCTTTTGGCAAGATAAAGTATACTCACATCAAGTGCAGCAGGACGAACCTCTGCAACTCAGAGGAGTCAGTCATACGACTTATTGATTCCGGACATGTGCAGTGAGAGTTTATGACTTCTGTGCACGAGCTTCATTCTTGGACTGTGGAACCCTTGGGCTCCACGCGACGGAGCAGATTCGTGCCGAGAGTCGTCCCTGGGCGTAACGTATTGTAGATCTCTTGTTGCACCCCACTGACGATCACACCGCAGCCGCCTGGCATGGGGTGATAAGCCCAGGCCCTGAGAATCACGGCTGCATCCGAGGGTACGACATGTTCCATCGCGTCCACCTGCATCGGGCATGAGCTGATGCGCAATCCTGGCTTGTTCATCGAAGCTGTTCATCCAATCTTCCTTATCATATCTCATCAAGAATCGGGACCACACAGATTAAAAGTCAAAAGAAAAAGCAAGAATGGAAAACCCCTCAGAAGATTAAATAACCTTGCATTCATGCGAACGTACGAATAATACCATAACGGTGAATGTGTATAACAGCAGCTATGCCTAAGATATCTTACCGCAATGGGACAACGGTCTACAAACAATAATAGCACCTTAAATTCATCTTATTACTTCATTGTTCTCTAATCTATAACATTAGCTCGTTGTATCTTCGAAATCATAAAAACATGTTCAATAATGTAATCTACATATTATGAAACAGAAACTAATGTTCAGTCTCTCTTCATACATGTCAAAGTCCGCAAACAAATATGTAACCTCTTTGCATAACACTGAATGGATATTTTGGTTGATCCCGGTTCATCAACATCCATTCTGTAAACTTTGTAGACAACTGTCCAAAATTTTTACCATGTGTACGCATTATCATTTATGCAATAATAAGGGTTTAGGGCCTATACTAACATCGCAGAATCCTTGTGTACTACTAAGGTTTCCTCTCTTCCCTCTCCGACTGTCACGCAATGCACAATGACATCAACAACACCCATGATTTATACCATTAGTACTGCACAAAGTCTTCTGCACAAAGTCTATCTTCAGAAACATTCTCGATTTTGTAATAATCTTTTTTGACTCTCATAGTACCAAAAATAATTTAAAAGAATCTTCGTAGAATTTATATAATTTTCGGGGAAATAAAAAATGCGACCTTTCAATTGTTGTTTGTCTGCATCGAGCCGCCTGGTTGAATTTGGAGACCCGATGTTAATTGACTCGGCTTAATATTCAGATAGAAATAATTTTCTGGCAAAGGAGTCAAAATTTTCAACGCTGGCTGGATCTCACTGATCCCTTCATTACTGTGAGGCTTTTTTCTGATTCCCCTTATCCAAGAGGTCAAAATCCACGAAAGTTCATGTAGTCATAAACTTGGAGAGAACTCTGTGCGTTGAACTTTTGCAAGCATGGCCACGAGGGAGCCGCTCCTGCCCATGGAAACAGCTTGCTCTATTTTTTTTTGGGAGTTTTACTTTATGTCACAAGAAAGTCTCCATGACATCAGATGAGACAATGTATATCTTGATATCTTCCATGTATATCTCCTCCGCACTTTATTCGTCTCAGGTTTGTATCGTAATTCTTGGCTTCCCTAGAAGGCGTTTATTCATGTCTCCTCTAATACGCTTCTGGTTTATCATTATTGCTACGAGAAAATGAAATTTAAGTGCAGCGAATGGGAAAAGAGTATCCGGTCAAAGCAGCGTGAGTAAGAGAGAAATGAAAATAATATTAGTAATGAGAGCATAGGAACACTATCAAGTTGCTCAGGGATGAACCCTGTTAGGTAGGATGTGGTTACGCTTCAACGGCATTGCAATGGGAAATACGTCAGATTATTCATAAGATACGTGAACTATCTAGATACTAGAGCTATGAAATCTTAGTTCCATTAAGGTATAATAGAGTGCAGACAGCCTACATGCCAAACAGAAGTGTACCATTAGATTAATTATGTTCTGTATTAAGGACGGTGATGGTCAATATACCTTTATTTTAGGGGCCCTGTCGGAGACAGGCATTGGGTGTTCCGTAGTATGGATTAAAGCAACGTGGTCAAAAAAGAGAAATAATTATTTCAAGTGTACTCATTTTTTTTCATGGAATTTATCTCACACTAGATGTATGTATGTATGTTTATCTTTAAAAGCCAAATTCTCTATGCTTGAGAGGATTTTGAACAAAATTTCATTAACTCCCATTAGATTTCAGAAGTCACTTGGTCTATATGTTTATGTCACAACAATAATGATGTGAAAGTTTATATTGCACTTATGGTCACACAAAAAAACTGTAAAAAACAAGTCTGTGAAAAATATATCTCCATGATCAAGAGTACAATGGAATGGATTAAAAACACAAAAGGCAAGCAGGTAATAAGCAGATGTCAGTAGGTGATTAAGTGATTTTTTTTCTTGTAGAGTTCATAGACAGTGCGCGTAGTGAGTGAGTGGGTAAGATCAGGATGCCTTGCAGGTTTCAACTCTAACGTAATCTCTAATGCCTAGCTTTCGATTCGTAGATGTGAAGTCCTGAGACGGATTGTACATATTGCTCTGTATTGTACCGTCTGTTCACTGTCTTTGCTATATCGTGAATATCTGGATAACCATCAATAAATTCTGTATCTCTTGCACCGGCCATTCGTGCATCATCATGATCATCTTGTAGAAACCTTACTTGATAAAACTGACAACTTGTGAGATGGCTGTGATGACCTCTTTGCCCAAATTGAGCAAAGAGAGGTGACTGTGGAATAAGAGTTTCCTCCTTTGCTCTAGTTGTCGCTGTCAAAGATATTTGTGGACAGATAAGGATGAATTATGGAAAGGATGCCAGGGAGTAGTTAGATCAAGCTCAGTCAGTACGTAATGTGAGGCTTGCACGTTTCCATCCAAGTGTGCATTTATTCAGTGCCTATGGCTTGGACACCACTCGGTGCAAACGTAATGCGATACACGGAGATGGCAGTCCCATGGTCTTCCAGTTCCATCCAACTGAGCGTTTACTGCCAGTGACTTGCAGAATATA